ACAGCCTCTGTTGACTTCCCACAAAGTTATACTAATTTGATTCTGGTAAGATGACACAGGAGAGATAACTGGCTGAGTTAAGCTCAGGCTATGAGTTTAACTCGCATACTTCAAGTGTTCTTACCACAGTGCCAGCCAGCCAGATATAAACAATAATATATATGTTTTATCTACGTGGCTTTACCGAAAGACCCAAAGAATAACAATAACACTGTTTAGCTGGTTCCCATCGCTGCCTCCTAATGTCTCACAACACCATAGTTTCAGAATGTTGTTAGCGTGGATCATCCCTGAAGGTATCCCATTGAATAAGCCACATCCCCTTGGAACGGCGGCATCATACTGACAATGACATTTCATTTTGTAGCACGTGCTGTAAGCAATTAAAATATTTTAACGCATCAATGTCTACACGTTTGATGTGATTATGCGTCTTAATTCATTACTGAAACTAAGTCATCTATTATACATGGATCTGTTAAAATGTTTGAAATAACAATTAGAGCAATCACGTTTTGTGAATAATTAGATTTGCATCAAGCAGCTATGCTGCCTTCCTCCTCAAATCAATATTCTTGGCAGAGGAAAACAAGAAAGTCGTGCTTTTGTGACTGCATCGAAAAAGCGAGTTGCCATTCTCAGATAAACGATATTGTTATTAATATCACAAAAAATCCAGAATACTGACGTTTAAACGGATAAAAGATTCAATATTCCACTCTATGTTTTCATGGCCCCAGTACTTGACCAATTATGTAAGCAATGCACATGCTGCCTATGAAGTTTTCGATTAAGTGGAGTGAGTAATTAGACCATTGTATAAAGAAATTTATATTTATCTGCTAATTAGCTGCATGAATGTGTGTTTTTTTTTGTCTGTTCATTTATTTTTGTAGTGAAATTGAGCCGCATTAGTAAAAAAGAAGTGCCCGTGATGTTCGGCTCCAAAGCGTGCAGGCTTAAAGGGGGTCAGTTCTAATTGACTTCTTGCTTTCAGTCCTCGTTTTAAAAGCATTTTAAAGCCTGTTAAACTATGGTAAACTGAATGGCAAATGGCCACCGCATGCCATAAATTGTGACATGGCACTGCCATTAGATGCTATCACAATTATTCCCGCAGTGAGTCACAATAATCGTTCCGAAAGCATAATTGTGGAGCGCATTATGGAATATAAAATAGCACAACAAATTCCTTTGAGACTAATATGAAATCGACGCAATATGTAAATTAATATCTTACAAGCTTTTATTTCATCCATCCTATTTTTTAATATCCTCTTGTTTTGTGATGGTTTTAAATCACATATATTTGGAGAATGCCATAGTGTTCAAGAATGGATAGAGTAAACTACTTGAACAAGTATTGAACAATACACAACTTTGAAAGTGTTGTAGATGTCATTTGAAAGAGAAGATTCCACTGACTAGGGCGTGTGCTGGATGGATTAGAGCAGGTTAGTGATGGAGACATTGGAGGACAGCCAGAGGTTTACGATTCGGAGGGAAGAGTTTAGCCAGATGGTGGGATATACCATGAGAGCAGATCTTGATGTCAGGTATTGCATTTTTGACATCTCAATTGTTGAGCAGATGTGAGAAAGCAATAGCAGGGTATAGTGGTATCAACAGCATTTATTGTTATGAGCACATCAGCATTGATTATTATAATAGCCTATTGACCTTGGCTCGTTGTTAAACCACTCAACAATATCAACCTATGCACTGTGTTATTTCACACGTACGTTTTGAAGCAGTTATTTTATTTGTTCTAGTTTTGAAGCTTTCGTGACTGCAAGGATTCATACTCTTTGGTTTTTTCGGTAAAGTCACGTAGGTAAAAAAAATTTTTTGAAAACAACTAAATTAATTTAAATTAATTTAGTTATTTTCATTTATTTTATTTTATTAATTTTTTACCGACGTGACTTTACCGAAAAAAAAGAGTATTTTGTTTGTATTTGAACATTGAGGTAGATGTCTAATGCATGAAAAGCAGGTGGTCCACACAAGAGGGTAGATTTCCCAATAAAGCAATGGAATGTTCTGCAGCGGAATACGTGTACAGTCTTATGGGGGTGGCTTTGCCATGAACATCCGTGGCAATTTCCAATTTTCTGCATCTATTGCAGTGTTCACTTAGTGTGGTGACTCCACACGTTGCACCCTTGTGTCTAGTGTCTGCTTGCAAGAATCAGGAATCATAACTCTTGTTGCCAAACATTTTCACTGAAAAAGGAAATGCTTCGGTTTCCTGCTCAGCTGCTTTATTTTTGCATATTGGATTCGTTCCCTGATATTTAAGGAATTAAGTGTGGTCAATTCAAACAAGATGTTTGTCACGTGGCTTTCCGTGCTTTTAAATTGCAGCATGTGCGGTACAGTGTCCGTGCAGCAGTTTGTGTGTGCGCTTGTTTGTTTGTATCAGATATTTCAATGACGTGAAAAACGTTCATGTTAGCAATATGCTTGTAAAGATAAAGAGGGCTGTTTTCTGTTAAAAATTGTACTTAAAAGTTATTTTTCTTTCTCTCTCAGATGCCATGTTTAAACATGCTTTCAAATCAAATGTTGGAGGTTTGTTCATAATATCCACTGTACAGCGTTTAAAATTGTGTGAGAGCACACGTGTCAAACATGTTTCTTTAAGTAATATTATATCTACAAGTAAATGCTATAACTGCACAATATATAGTAACTAGAGGGCAGCACATGCTGTGCGTGGGGTGAAGCTTCCCACCAAATCGAGTTTATTTGTTTAACAAGGTGGGAATCCAAGAGACCAGGATGAGTCTCATTTGTGTGAATGTATCCTGGGTCACCAAATTGACAAAAGCAAAACAAATCAGGTGGACCAATGACGGAAATGGAAATCAGTGTAACACAACAGTGTCACATGAGAAATGTAAGAAATTGCACAAACATAAATCAGTGTTAAAAAAAATTAAATCCTGTAGTGTAAGTACCCTCAGGCAGAACTTTTTTAGACTGATCATATAATTAAGTTAGAAAAAAACATTAAACAAATATCGGGTGACTATTGTACTCATATAAACAGACAAGGATATAAATGACGGCTTGCCATCCTTTTCCACCTCCATGTGGCGATGGCTCTTTCCGAGCTCTCTCCGAGCTTACATTTACAAGCAAAGTTCTTACATTGACATGCTAATCTCTCGCAATACAATGGCCACCCCCACAGCTTCGTTTCTGAGTTACATTCACTAGCACAGCCACCGTTAACTGTGTTAGTAAATGGCGGCTTGCCATTCTTTTCCACCTCCATGTGGCGATGGCTCTTTACTAGCTCTCTCCGAGCTTACATTTACGAGCACCTCTAAACCTTTGTAAACAGCTCTTTAATTGGGATAGACCTACTGCCGGTTACAGAGACCTCTCTTACATAAACATTAGCTGCCCCGCCCATCTCTAAACCTTTATAAACAGCTCTTTGATTGGTGTAGACCTACTGCCGGTGTCGGAGCCTTCGCCTACATTAACATTAACTGCCCCGCCTATCTCTAAACCTTTATAAACAGCCTGCCTCAGCAGCTTTCCCCCTCTTTTTTCACCTAATGACGATGGCTTGTGTTGCGATCGAAACATCGTGATATTGTTATTACTTTTATAATTTTTCTAACTACGTGGCTTTACCGAAAGACCCAAAGAATATGAATTCCTGCAGTCACGAAAGCTTTAAGTCAAGAGACAAGGATATACATCAACCGCCCCCCCCCCCCCCCCGCGCCTCTCCCTCATGAGCTTACTCTCTCTCCTGTTGGACCTGCCATTGCCCAATTGACTCAATTCGCTTGCTCATCAGCTATGCCCTTCCATAAATTAACCACTCCTACGTCAGCACTCACCAGACACCTACCATGTGTGTCATTTGTGTGCAAAATACTCAGGAAAGTAACATGTCGAACAACCACATATCTTGCAGAAGTGTTCTTAGTATGTCAATAAAAAAAAAATTCTTGCATAAATCTTTTTCCATATTCCAATGGGTGACGTTCTTCTAGAAGATTTTTCTGAATAACCTATTAACTATCAAATGTATACTATCAACTCTCTTTCTGTGAGCATATTATTGCGTTATTTTATTTTATAAATTTATTATTTTATTCTCATTCTACGTGACTTTACCGAAACAACTAAAGAAGATTCTCCTGTGATAGAGGAAGAGTTGGTAGAGTGGTAGGATCTCTATGAAAGTGTGTCACTTTTCATAACTATGGTATTCTCTTTCCATCTCATCTCATTAGTACTATGTCCCAGTTTATTTTCTCCAATTCAAAACATTTCATTCTTCAGATAAAGTGAAAGCTTTTTTATGTAGCAATGGCCAAGCCAAGAAAGCCTTCTTACCCAGCGATTCCCAAAATGTATTACACCGTTGCTACCCCCTAAAGTCTGCAACTCTCTTCCCCCAGCCATCTGTGCTGTCGAAACTCTGCTTGTCTTTCGAGTCCAAGCTCACACACTTCTTTTTTCCAATAATAATAGTTGATTGCCACTGTCTATAACATAACTATGCCCAGTTTATGTAAAGTATCTTAAGATCCGATCACATTTAGAATCTATATTATACCAAATTGAATGTATAACTCAGTTTAACACGTAGGCTTATGAATGAATGTATAACTGTTATTTATTTTGACTTAAAACTTTCATGACTGCAGGAATTCATATTCTATGGTTCTTTTGGTAAAGTCACATAGATTTATTTGTTCTATCTACGTGACTTTACCGAAAGAACTATAGAATAACTATTATATAAGTGTTCCTGGGTTGCACAGCTGGCCAGAGGTTACTTTTGAGCGTCAGAATCCTTTGGGGTTTTGGTTATGAGGAAAAATATATCAGCGCTCAAGCTAAAAGTGGTTTCCTCAAATATGTTTAAAAAAAAAATCTTCATTTGCAGTATTGCTACATGTTTTCACTTGTTGCCGTTGTTGCTGACTATGTAAGCGCCTTGTTAAATGCCTATTTAAAACTTTCAGAAATCTTACATGGAGGGGTGTACATAAAGGAGAACAAGCACCTCTGCTACCACAACACTGTGGACTGGTGGGATATTGTGAAAGAAGGCAGCATTGTCAACATCGACATGGACAACAGCACCACATGTAAGAATTGTGCACTGCTTGTTTATTCACAAGTGTACAAGGCATCAGAATCTTTATCAGAATCTGTATTTATCCTGGAGAAATCCAATGAGCTATGAAGCTCTTGTTTACAGATGTCCAGTAGGGGCTGGTCAGAAAGTTCTAACAATAAAGAATAACACGAAACAATAGGACCGCAAAGTGTGGGAAAGGTAAGGAAATCACTAAAAATGAAAAAATAGCATATATACATAAAGTTTATACGTTCAAATTGTATAAACACAATTGTCTTTTCTGACATTTCCCCAAAAGTTTTATTTTCACAACCATTGCAACTGTTTCTTACATTTCTTGTTTACTAACTTTTTATATAAAATGTAAAAACGAAACTAAAACTAAGAGTGTGTATAAATGCCCCTGAGATGGTTTTGTGAGGATTCGATGGCCCTAATTTCACAAGAGCTAGGCATGCCAAACCAGGGCAAGCAGTTAATGTTATTAATTAAAGATCTTCTGATATCATAAAAGAAGGTCGTTATGCTGTTATACCAGTACAAATATCTCTCACCACTGATGTTAGCTGTAGCAGGGAATCAAAATTACATCACCTGAAGCAATGGTCTAAACACCGTACCAACGTTCCCCTATTCAGTATAGCACGTTTGAAGTTATATATGCAGCACACATATAACTAGCATTTCTGTAGAGGACTTCACATCTGGCATTTGAAGACATTTCTAATGCTTATCCTAAAATGAAATAAGTCAACCAGATTAGGAAATATATAGCAATGTACAAGTGTTGTCGCATATGATCTACAATGTTTTCTTAATGCAATGTCATTTCATACTATGACTACTGTAAGGAAAAGTATATTCATCAACAGTTTAACAAATAAGCCAAAATGAGATTGTATAAATGTCTTCCTCTGTTTTGTACGTGTGTACAATGCCAACTTTTTTACTCGTTTCGAAAAATCAAAACACTCCTTTTTATACGAAATTTGTCATTTTTAAGTGGCAGAAAATGCATCTGAATTGATCATTATGTACCTATGGAAATTAGGAAGTTGCCTTGCCATTGTCTTACTTCCAGTCACGTATGGATATAGTCACTCTAAACATTCGTGCCAAGGGATGCCATACTGAATTCTCACCTTCATCAATCGATCATTCTTTATTTTACATGCCAATATTTCCCTCAATAAAGTAGGCATCAGTCTACATTATAGCAGAACAGGAATGGTACAGGGGCACAGAGCATCAGGAATGAAAAAAAAAACCTTTACGACTTTAGCATCACGGAAGGAATGTCAGGATGTTGCATGATCAGTCAGAGGTTGCAGCACAATTCATTTAACATCCTATACTTGAATTCACGTTGAGATATCGAGTTGGCAAATAAGCACAATTATACTGTAAGTGCAACTATTAAACACTCCCTGGTGCTTATACTTAATGTCTAACAATCAGGTGTAAAAAAGTCAGTGATAGGTGATGTGGTTTAACGTTTACAATTGCAAGTCTATCACATCCATTTCCTAGCAACTCTGAAAAGTCCATCAGGAATAGAGCAATCGATTTCCATAAAATCAGCTTAATGTCAGCAATGAAAAGTAAGTTTTGTAATTTGAATGTTTTATTATTATTAAGCTTAGATCATCTATTTTTGTATAAAAAAAATTACAGCAACAGGTACTTGTTTAATGCCCCTTATTAACATTAAACTTGTATTACCTTTTTTCAGGTACTTCCTGCCATAAAGGCTGCCATAAGCACTGCTGGGGAAATGGGATGAAATACTGCCAGAAATGTGAGTACAGTAGACATCACGGCACACACCCGCTCTGTCGCATCCCTCTACAGACCAATCAAGCATTAAATGCTTTTGACATTTTATAATTTTGTTGTTGTAGTTGTTGTCATTTAATCAATGAGAGCTGTAAATACTCTTTGGTTCTTTCGGTAAAGTCACCTAGGTATAAAATAATTTAAATCACGACGTTTCGGGCGCAACACAAGTGTCTGTCATCAGGTGGGACAACCACAGCAAGAAACAATTGCTGAAGTGAAGTGGCCCGCAAGTGAAGTGGCCCACTTCAGCGCCCGAAACGTCGTGATTTCTTTTATTTTATACCTCCGTGACTTTACTGAAAGAACCAAAGTGTGGATTCCTGCAGTCACGAAAGCTTCAAATCAAGAGAGAGCTGTAAATGTTTCATACATGCAAGAGTTATTTAATGAAAAAAAATATTACTGGTGTCAGTTACAAATGTAGATATTTTTAGAATGTAGCCTATGGACAATATTTCAAATTGCATGGCTTAAAGTATTTGCAGACAGGTACCAATTTTTTTTTCATAAGGCCATTGTTTCAAGTGATGTGTGAAACTTGCATATGCTGCTTGTTATATTGTTTATGGGCTGGTCGGCTGGATTGCATCAATGTTCAATATAAATGATTATTCTGCTATGCAGTTAAACATTGAGTCCATGAGCATCGGAAAGAATATGCATTTTTGGCACCGAATATCTGAATTGAATTGGATTTCTATCCCCTTTTTAGCATCTGGTAAGAGTTATTTAGCTATATAAAGTGTATCCCAGATACAGGAGTTGGTGTCTTTTTCATGTGACCACAACAGTGCTTGTACAGCGGTAGTTTGAGAACACGCTGGTGTTAGACAAGCTTATTGAGTTTTCCATTTTCACTTTTAGACTTAGTTTAATAATGGGATAGTTCGACATTAAAAGCACATCACAAACATTTAAATGAGAAAAGATGGCTAACATACCTGTCGGGAATTTGAATATCCTCTTGTTACATCTAAATATCTTTTTTTCCCAACAGACAAGGTAAACACATTTCGTATGCGTTTTTGTATTCCCTGCAACATTTCATGTTCATTAACCACCGCATAATTGCATTAATACTGGGCAGTATGAAAACTATTTCGTGAATAAATTCACGTGCTGAAATTCTGATTTAAAAAAATAATGCAAAACACTCTGCAATGATTTCTGTACTGTGTTACAGAAACCATTTTTGTACAGAATTTCAGTCAAAAAAATCTCCAATTGTGCAGAAAAATTGGTCACCTGTTCATTCTATTTTAACGTAGAAATTTTTTTTTAAATCTAAAGCGCCTTGAGAGTTTATGAAAAGCGCTATATAAGCTTGAATTCTTATTATTATCCTCTTCTCAATATTCTAGAAAACTGCATTTTTGGCAAACGAAGAAATACGATTTTTGGCTTTTATATGTTTTGTTTCAACTCACTTGCTATTCCAGGGATTTTTTTTATATGTAAACGAATTTAGCCACACATGCTAGAAGGGATAATGACCGATGATCAAGAATAGTGATGGACTGGCAGCCAAGGAATATGATGCAGCCTCCAGTATGTCCACCGAGGAGATGGAGCAATGAAACCGGCTCGTGTGCAGGTGCTCAGTAGATTGTTCGATCGCAGAACTGTGAGAGATGACGATGCATTGAGGAGGCCTTCATCCAGCAGTGCATTGACCATGATAATCACGGACAACTTCTCAGCCAGCATGACACGTTCGTTAAAAGGATGATGAATCATCATAATTGTGACTGATGATGACGATGACGACGACGATGTTATGTTAAGCAGTAACACGTGGGTAATTGGGAAGCAGCAGTGTGAGACTGCATTCTGCTGACATCTGCGTGGACTTGTGCCGTGGCAGTCACCAAGCTGACGTGCGCACGGCAGTGCGATGGCCGCTGCCATGGCCCTACTCCCAGCGAGTGCTGCCACTCCCAGTGCGCGGCTGGGTGTGATGGTCCACGGGACACACACTGCTTTGTAAGTACACACCTCTGCCACACAGAACAACAGCAATGTTATGTTGAAGGGCACTGCGGTGTGGCGAGATGTTAACTCCCTCGCCTGGTATACAGGTGGTTGTGGGTTAGATCCCGACTCTGAAGCCTGTATATTTGGAGTCTGCATGTTCTCCCCGTGGTGCCGTGGATTTTTCTCCGGGTTCTCCTGTTTTTCCCTCCACATTTCAAATCAACATCTGTTTAGAATATTTGGCTGCTGTACATTTCACTACTTCTTTGAGCAATCATTTGTGGCTATAACGCTTCTGAAAAAGATCTTTAGCTCAGTGTTTCTTACATGGTCAAATTAAAATAGTTTAGTTTCATAAAGAGTTTAAATAGTTTAAAATGCCTTATCATATGGCAATGTCTCTCGCCCCCCACCACCACTCACCTCTTTGCTTTTATTCTCCTATGACCAGGCGTGCAAAAACTTCAATGACAGTGGGTCCTGTGTGAGCCACTGCCCTCCACCTACCATCTACAACCCCGTCACCTTTGCACAGGGCGAAAACCCAGACGTCAAATACAGCTACGGCGCCATCTGTGTCAAGGAGTGTCCACGTAAGGAGCACACATGCTGCGTTTTTGTCATGAAATTGCTCGACCTGCTATGCTTGAGCCTTCCTCAATCTTCACGCTCCCTTCATTTGTTTACCCTTTTCTCCTTTTCTCCAAGCCATCCATCCCCTCCCTTCCAACCCCCTTCTATCATTTTGAGCTTTCAAAAATAATCTATGAATTGCTGATTTGTGGAGGCATCATCATTTGTTACAATTGTCCCACACACCAGGGGATGGGTATTCATAAAGCTGCCTCTTGTTAGTGTGCACCACTGCTGCAGGACAGAGATCGACACTCTTTCAAAGAAAATATCCCACTTCTTTCCTTTGTCCTCTTTTTACTGTTTGGGAACATTTCATGAAATTAGTTGGCCTCTGATGGGCACTCAAAGTAACGCCATTTTTGCAATCACAAAGTCACGTTAAAAAAAAAATGCTTTTCACAATTATCTCATCATTGTTGTTATTCTTACATAATGTTGACGATAATAATGAAATATGAGAGGTTGAAACTTTGCATAGACACGTCAAAAAAAGAATGGATAATCAGCGCTGCATGGTGAATCGACGTGAACCATTTTGGTGGCCTGGTTTTAAGCCACTACACGGCACAGTAGATCCACCTCATCATTTCGGAAATAATATTTTGTATTATATTTTAACTTACCTAAAGCCATAATAAATAAACTTTAGCAATAGCCTGGAATGTTTCAAACGTAATTTTAAGCCGTGTTTATTTATTCATAGCTAACTTAAGTGGCTCAGCGGTCGAGTGAGCGGTCGAGCGAGGGAGCGAACGAGCGGCTCGCAACTGGAACATTGCGAGTTCAAATCCTGGTGGGGGGTTGACTCAGCACATCATGCCTCCTGGAGTTCATGAAGTAACTCCCGATTTGTGCGGAAGTCAACATCGATTAGTTCTCCGAATGGAAAGACTTGCCCCCGGCCATTGGAATGTGGATTTCCACCGTTGGCTTTAGAGCTGTAAACCGGAGATGAGCACTGGCTCACTAATCATTTGAGTAACAAATCGCCTTGACTTCTGTTTTTACTTTTAATACTTTTAAAATCTGGAAACTTCTTAGAATATGTCAAGGGTTAGCAACCAAAAATAACAAGAAGAGCTGCAATGCACGTGAATACGAGAGGGTGGTCCATAATAAGTAACGTCATGAAGCAGTTCCTTAAAGCGCCGCATGTGGCTCCGGAGCCGCATGTAGCCGACCCCTGGGGATAGGGAAATACAAATTGTGGCATTATTAATCAGCATGTGTTTCTTTTGAGTCCCAAAATGGGAAGGTAAACTCACCTTTATGGTTTCTTGGAACTAAGTTTCAGACAACTAATGCAAAAAAAGTGTCTTAATGTTGCCAATACTGTATTCGAAAAATAACATTTTCTTAGACCATGAGCATTGGTGCTTCATATCCACAAATACATAAAAAAACATATATGTAATCATTTTAATTCAGGAAATATCACAGGTATTCCAATGCAAACCAAAAATAAGCGAAATGAGAATATATATCATCACAATGAGTTCCCAATTGGTATAAATATACACGTGTATGCAAATCCAGATGTAGAGGGTTACAAAATAGCTATGTTATTTACACCAAAAAACTCGCTTTTTTATATTAACATGTGGTGCGATTATTTCTTAATCACCACATAATTAACAAAGACGTTTAGAGACATTTCTACTTCGGTGATTTTCCTTAGATAACACGAATACTGTACTGTGCTTACCCATCAGTGCATATCCATTTAATGTGCTTGATAATTGATATTGAATTGCCATTTAAACATGCCCTCCATTTATTTATAACCCTGCTATTGAGGTGAGCACCTTACAGAACGACTGCCAGGTAAGCGACAATGTGTAAGGTTGTAAAATTTTAATCTTGATCGATCAAGGGGTTGATCAAGGGGTTCATTGATAATAATTACATTCAAAACCCACTTTATAGAACTTGCAAGCCATCTCTTTGATGAAAGCATCCTATTTATTTTGCATAGATTTTTTTTGTTTGGGGAGTTGGGGGTGGGCGGGGGGGGAGTCATTGAGGCTTGGCTTATTTGAAGCAATGTAACATGAAACGTGAACTACTGTACATTGATGCTGGACTCGTCCCACACGTGGCATCCCGCAGATAATTTCGTGGTGGACTATAACTCATGCGTACGAGCGTGCCCAGCCGGGAAGCATGAAGTGGAAAAATTTGGCAAGAAGAAATGTGAAACCTGTACCGACGTCTGCCCTAAAGGTGCCTCCTGCATGTCTGGGTGTCACCAGAGTACTTTTCTTTTTACATACATACACAGAACCAGAATATTTATTTAACCTGGAGGAACTCAATGAGCGATAATGCTCCTTTTTCAAAGATGTTATAGTAGATGTGTCCAATCCAATATCTAATACCTGCCATTCGCCACCAAGTGACAGTGACGTCACTACAGCGCATGTGCCAGATGTGTCCACACTCACACACACACATAGGAAAAACTATTTTGATTTAAAGGTTTCGTGACTGCAGGGATTCATATTCTTGGTTCTTTCGGTAAAGTCACGGAGAAGGGAAAAAATAAAATAATAAAAATATAAAACAATAAAATTCTCACGATGTTTCGACTGCAACACAAGCAATCATCATCAGGTGTGAAAACCACAGCAAGAAAATTTGAAAGAAGCCAGATGGCTTGCAAAGAACCTCTGTCTTGGCTACCATGAGAGATTCGTTCATGAGGCTATCCACATATACAAACACAGAGACAATTTGAACCAAGAAGATGGATTATGGCTTAGCAATCATTGGAAGGATTTGATAAACCATTTCGGGTCTAAATTGATTGTTCACGCTTACGGTGGCTTTCAGACCGCATCCATTATTTTCATCTCCCCCCTCCTCTTTTCCGAACATAGATGGACTAGTCCATCTGAATAACTGCCAAATCGCTCTCCGTGGTGCTAACGTAAAAAACAAGAATAGGAAAAACGATATTAAACGTGTGTACTCTGCAGAGTCTTACTTATTGTCAGCTATGCCGGAAAATGTTTACATAGTTTGACCATCAGCAGTTAATGTAACCAGCTGCTAGCATACTTTTAAGGTGTATGTTTATTTATGAGGGACGGTCAAAACTTTTTAGAATATGTATCGAAATGTACACAAAATCTCAGTTATATCAGATAGTCTCTTATCATAGTAACCCCTAATGGCCATGCACTTATTTGATGTTGTGATTAATACATAAACATGTTTCAGCATTAGCCTAGTGTTAAATCAGTGTGCGATATGCTTTGCATATTTTATATAAAATATTTTGACCACTACTTGTATTAATGTAGATTTCTGAAAGCTATTTCACACACATGTCATATCAATTTAAGCCAGATGATTTAGGGAGAAGAGGAAACAGGGAATTATTGAGTTAGAGGCAGTGTTAGAATGGGCCTCTTGGCAACCAGTCATTTGCCGAGTGAGCCGCTCCTGGAGTTGAGCCACAGCATTCTTTTGTGATGCTTAAATCTCAGCTTAAATCATATTTTAACACATTTTTTTACCAGGTAAGGCCCATTGAACTGTGTAGGTCTTTTCAGAAGCAACCTGGCCACGAATTAGCTGAATGAAGTGGTGATCGTGTGGAAATGTACAGCAGTCAAATATTCTAAATGCATGTTTCTAAATGTGGAGGGAAAAACCGGAGGACCCGGAAAATAATCCACGCGATCACGGGGAGAAAGTGCAAAATCAAAATATACAGGCGTTAGGTTTGGGTTCGAACCCATGATATTCTGCATACCAGGCGAGTTTGTGAACATCTCGCCACCTTGGCGCCCATTCCACCAGTACGGGGGTAAAGTTGAGCTGAGCATGCAGTGGCCCATACTCTAGGACCTGCTTATCAATGAAATTTCCCTGCTTATCAGGGATATTCTCAGAGGCGTTTTTGTATGGTACAAAGCTTGCTAAATGTGTCTGCGTTTGTTGAGTGCTTATATGTGTGTGTGCGTGCAGCGCTGCGCTACAAACCCGACGAGCCGAGTTTGATTCCCGCTCATGGCCAACAGCAGTAACGATTATCTGAAACAGTCCTGGGCCTCTCCAAGGTCGACTCGGCCTCAAATGAGTAACTGGTGCTGTGTGTAAACGTAGACATTCGGTAGACAAAGGCGGTTCGGTGTGGTGCTGACCACCCACCCCCTTTGTGTGCCGTGCCAGCCTTCATAGATGCTCGCTGACAGCACTTGCTCCTACAGTCTGTTAAGGCTATATGGAGGATGTTTGTCTTTTATGTCTTTGCAGCGTGCGATGGGATAGGAACAGGAAACCTAAGCCGATCACAGACGGTGGATGCTACCAACATAGATACATTTGAGAACTGCACAAAAATCAATGGAAACATTGCATTCCTCACCACAGGCATCAAAGGGTAACCATCAAATTAAATCTTTACATTTTGTTATATGATGATTATTTCCACTTCAGTGCTCTTTGGGATTATATGCCTGAAAGAACGTTGTTGAAAAATTGTCCGCATGCTACTCGTTGTGCTGAAGATTTATTTTCACAATGGAATGTGAACAATGATTTTATTTTGGAACACAATTTGTCGATACGTATTCGTCTTCCATTGTATTTAACATTGGGGTTTACATCTTCTGGTACACATCCATCTAGTCTTCTTCTTGCTCACATTCCATGTACTGCATGCACTTGTATTACACATAACTGTATTAAACATAACATTGTATAAAAGTTGTGTTAAAACCTAATTCCACTAAAATGACGAGGTAAATATTTATCACACTATTAAGAAAAAGTAACCCGGAATTGTATAATATTTAATTTTGAACTAATTGTAGCCATACTATATTTCCAACGTAATACTTATTTTAAGAGCAATTTTAGGTTGATGTTCTGGTCATTACGTAGTTGTATTCAGTATTTCAGTTCACTGCCTCTACTCCTGTGATTAATGTGCCCTATATTTCTCACTTTTTTTCCAAGGGATGATTACATGAAAATCCCGCCTCTTGATCCTGATAAGCTAAACGTTTTTCGCAGCATTAAAGAGATAACAGGTACCGTTGATATTTTTTCAGAAAATACAGTTTAAAAAAAGAACAATACCCACTTTCTAAATACATCCAAGGGAGAATAAGACTATGCATGTTTAACAATTTCGTCCAACATAGTTCATTGCTGATATTTGCACATTTCGTAATGGAATGCATCGCCTTTTTTGCCATAGTTTTATATATAATTTATAGTTATCATATGATACTAAATGTTATATTTTGCTGTGTGTTTTGTGTATGTGTGTTCGATTAAGGTCATCTTATGATCCAAGCTTGGCCAGAAAATATGACAGACTTTGCTGTTTTTGAAAACCTCACGACAATCAGAGGCAGAGTGTTACAGAGGTACGGTTTTAGTGATGTTCATGCATATTCATGTTACTCTACCCAGCACAATCTGTGTCTGAATTCCACTTTGTTCACAAAAAACACAAGAGAGCCAAATGGCTGTGATGCATGATGCATGTGAACAGAGGCAGTTAGATTGGCCAGTTGGCATGTGCACCATCCTTAAAGTTCCGAGTGAAACTTCATGAACATCCACCAACGAACTGTAAACCCACTGCAATAAACGATAAATTCAACATTGTCACGAAATCTCGTGTGGACAGCGTTTCTGACTAAACAACGCTGCAGCCAAAGTGACTGCTGTTAAATTGCTAAAGGGACCGTAACGGACACCAATTGACATTGAGCCTCGTGTGTGCCTCACAGTTTTTAGTGATTCTTAATATTTTCGAAGGAAATTTTTGTATATATTTAAAACTAGCTTATATACCTGGCATTGCCCGGGCCAAAAAAATATTTCAAAAGTACTCTTAAAAATCGAAGAGCAGTGCGTACTGTCTGTGGTGGTACCTGCTATGATTACAGCAGAGCATACCGACTATGGTGGTACCTGCTATCACTTCAGTAGTACATGCTGACTCTATAGCAGTATTTATCGACTGTATAGCACAAAGTACTCACCTGACAAGAGTGGCGTGGTGAGGCCTAGTCCCATGCAGAGCCTCTGGCTTCGCCTAGATTGCCCAGCCGGCCGAGGTGGCACCTTGGCAGGCTGGGGCTGGGCTGCTACCCCTGACCCCCCCCCCCCCTCCAGCCACGATCTCTCCGGCCACTTTGCACTAATATCTACGTCTTATAGTGGAAGCATGTAGCGACTGTATAGTAGTGAAGAATTTACCTGAACGTTTAGTATATTTTAATAGGATTTTTAACACGAAAGAAAATGTCTCCCTCACTCCCACTGAAGGCGTGCAACATGTCATGGGCCATCCCCTCCACCAAAGGCGCGTGAGTTGATATGCTCGTGCACGCGTCATAAATTAATAAATAATAGGCTAGCACACAGAAAATCGCACAAAATCGCTAATTAAACTAATTAAAAGTTGACGGATGAGAAAAAGAATAGTGCTTGCTCACGGCGGGGTTTACGGCGTGGTACCTGTCTATTTATATTATACGTTAACCCCACCATTGGAGAGCCAAGCACGCGAACACACACAAACCCACACACAAACCCACACACAAACCCACAAACAAACCCTCCCACAAACCCACACGCAATTTTTGACTTTTATATATATATAGATTACATCCTGCAAAATGTAATTTGTTGGTTAGTTGAATATCTCCCATTATTGGTTATGTGTAGTGACTAACTGCGATACAGTAAGACTTGGAGGCAATTCTTTATTAAGCAAGCACCATCAGGATAACACACTATTTATTAAGAGCGTCTATTGTCGGCGGCACTACTTAGTTCGAACAGTTGGCCTGCTGACGTCAGTACAGCCAAACACCGCAGATCTCCTTTTTCGCCAACAGCCAGCGCTATGCCACTACATATGCTCAAAAGAAAGCCATCCCTTGGTGTGGACCAATCAGTTTCAAGGACAATGCATATATTATCATAGTATGTTTTTTGTTTGCATTTTGACTGCAGGTATTGTGGTTAATGCAGACATGAATCCTCGTAAAAAGGTTTCAGTTTTGTTGCCAGAAAAATGGGGAAAAACCCTTTTATTACATTTTGGTACTGGCAAAGGAGGTCTAATGATGTAGATGCTCACCCCGAGCCCCATTACTTTGATAGTGCATTGTCTTTGAGCTGTACGCCTTCTGGCGTCATCTGGTCGAGCACCAATTGGGTCGAGGCTCAAAAGAAAGCCGTCCCTTGGTGTGGACCTATCAGTTTCAAGGACAATGCATATATTATAGTATGTTTTTTGTTTGCATTTTGACTGCAGGTATTGTGGTTTATGCAGATATGAATCCTCGTAAAAAGGTTTCAGTTTTATTGCCAGAAGAAAGGGGAAAAACCCTATTTTTACATTTTGGTACTGGCAAAGGAGGTCTAATGATGTTAAAAAACGATATTATGGCAGAACACTATTGTTTCCAGTGTTCTGGTTATGATATTCATTGAACATTGCGTGAGATATTTTTGTATATAGCAGTTTTGTCGACGACCTTCCAGACCAGGCTAGAGCACAGTGACTGCCACTGAGTAGATCAGTGAGATGGTGGCAGTTCACAGCACATAAGCCTTGGCACTGCAGATAGTTCCTGAAAGTTTTTGCAGCAGGGCGAGTCTTGATTTGTTTTTTTCACAGATCCTTTTTTACGTGGGGCTTGACGGTCAGGCTTCTGTCCATAATAAACCCTAGATATATTGGAGTAGAGTCACAGCGCATTGGGCTAACACAGAAGGACACATCAATGATGACATCTGCTGCATGATTGTTAAAGTGGAAAGTGATCGTGGTGATTTTGGAAAGATTTGGTCGGAGTCTCCTGCAATGGAAATATGCCTTCAATAACATTAGATCAGGTGTTAAGAGTATTGGCAATGTTCTAGAGATTTGTGCCCTGTGCAGCAAGTACAATGTGATTGGCATTTATAAACTTGCAAGATGATGTACATGGAAATGGCACTTATATATGTTAGATAGTGATGGTGCATATATAGTTATATATATTAACAGAGATATAAACAAGTGTAGTCCAACAGATGCATGTGCAGGATGGATTGATTAATCCGTATTACTCAAACATAATAATAGAGTTTATTTCAAGATTACAAGTGTCTTTTGGGAACAGAAGACACTTCCCATTAGAGAGCCGTGTAAAGGAATTAGAGTACAACATCCCTCCGTAATACAGATTTCTTTTGGGTTAGATCACGTAAATATATCGCTAAATTCGCCACCACCCGACACAGCCAATTTTAACGACATATTTCTATATTTACGCGATCTAACCCAAAAAAACCTGTGTTATGGATGATATTAGTCGCGAAAGCCTACGTGTTACAATATCCCTGTTCTCCCCTTGTTTGGACACATCCACTTGTGAGAAGACTTGTGGGCACATCTGTGTTTTATTCAACACAAAGCAATCATTAAACATCATTGTAGAATAACTTACTTATATTTTTGTAGTATGTACCACACATGCGTTAACCGATAAATATCAGGCAGTTCAACAGGCCTGACACTGCTGATGACACAGTAAATGTTGAAACTGGTCCAGAGATTGCCTGTGTTGAACCAAGCTGCTGATAAGGCTCACTCCCACAAGTTTGTGTGACTGATGGAATATGTAAAAATATTATTATTTTAACGTGGAGGGATAAATATGGGAAGACTACATGGTTGCAGTTTTCTGCACATGGTTACGCAAATATATATTTCCAGCTGTTTTTGTCACCACCTAACTAATTGTGAACCCGTAATGTTTGGTAGTTTTATCGAAGGGGAGCCACATTTACTCCACATTTTTTTATTGCATAACTTGCATAACCATGGTTCATGCACTGTTCTATCTTTTTTAAATTTCGCAATTAAAGAAACACAAATTAACACAAAGCCTGCGATCTGCATTTCAACTATTTGACCGTATCCATTGCTTTACTTTTTTCGTGTAGTACATTATATGACGTTGGCTTTTTGTGGTGTGGGCAGGACCTTTTCTCTTCTTGTGGCTCGCATCCCCAACATCACAGCACTGGGACTAGCCTCCCTGCAGGAAGTGAGTGCCGGCAATGTCTACCTCAAGAACAACGAACGTCTGTGCTACTACAATACCATCAAATGGCCTGCGGTATTTGTGAGCGAACAACAGACTTCATACGTTCACGACAACAAGCCAGAAGCCGACTGCAGTAAGAGTCTCCCAGCGCTCTCAACTTATCGTTCGGATATCTACAAGTGTGTACATTTGTGGGACAATAATTGTGTTGTCTTTTGAATGCAGCCGATTCATAGTCACAATGTTTGAGGGAAGTTTATTTATTAGATAAAGTCTATGGAGGAGATAACAATGCCTCGACATCACTAGACCGTTGAGCGTTTGTATTCATTTAAAGTGCTGAAGTTGAAAAGCGTATTTGGTTCAAATGTGATTTTAATCTGTTCTGCTGGAATGTTACACGCATTATGAATTGAAATGTTACTGTTCTAGAATATATTGTGCCATGGTGGTAGGCCTATTGATCATTTGCAATGGATATACACAATTACACATAGGGTTTCGTGTACTTGACAGGATTAGAGATGTAGAAATTACAGCATAATGAAACCCAAGAAAACAGTGCTTTTGGTGCTTCCATGGGTTCATTACGAATTGGAATTCCTCATAAAAGCATGCCAGAAATGTAATCTTACTCAGTTTTTTTTCATTTTCAAACTAAACTTAATTTTGGATTACATATGACAAAACAAAGACATAGATCCCCCATTTAGCCTGAACAGACTGTTGGGGAAAGTGCTGTTGGTGAGCACCTATGAAGGCCGACATGGTACACGCAAAACAAAGACATACATCCCCCATTTAGCCTGAACAGACTGTTGGGGCAAGTGCTGTTCGCGAGCACCTATGAAGGCCGACATGGTACACGAGGGGGTGGGTGGCCAGCACCACACCCGGCCGCCTTTGTCTCTCCAGTGGCAATGTTTACGCACCGCACCGGGTACTCATTTGCGGCTGAGTCGACTTAGGGGCGGCCCAGGACCAGTTAAGATAATCACTGGTGTTGGCCATGAGCGGGAATATAACTCGGGTCGCCGCTTACCACAAATGACAGTATACATGCACACCCACGTTATAAAATCTAAATCTAGTATATATTTGCTGTATGGAATATTTATAAAGATTGTGGTTCGTCTCTTTTTAATTACATACCTTCTCTGTCAAAATGTATACGAATTGAGTCATAAACTTAGTTAATTGTGAAATGTTTGGTGTAAATGCACAAGGGAGCATTAATTGTGTTCCTCTGATATCAATACAATGTCTTCAAGCATAGAAATTGTCATGACTAGTTGTGACTAGTCATTTGAAATCCATTTTGAATTTCTAACTTATAGTGAAAACATTTTTAGAGGATGCTACATGAGCATCCAATTACACTTCAATTACACTTCGCATGAATTGGGCACAATTAAGTCTGTATCCATATCGCTATGAACAAACATTTGTATGTATGTTGAACTTCTTTCTCATCGTACGTTGTCAACCGCATTATTCGGAGGTGTGCTCTTTGCAGCTAGAGATTGGTTCAGAAATATAGTTGGTTGCATTTTTTTTTTCAAGTATGAACTCCTTTAGGTGAACCTCATGGCTGCTTGTTTTTCTTGCATTATTAATGGCAATGATTATATGATACATTTTGGTTGTCATTCATTCTGTCATGAGAATGGATGCCATGTTCCAAAAAAACTCTTATGGATGATATTGGTCGCGAAAGCCTACGTGTTAAACTTCCAATGACCATTGGCAACTATGCTGGCTGGCTCAGTTCTCAACATAGGAGGGAACCATAAACCCATATTAGTCCTGGCCAATTGGAGCTCCTGGCCCAGGTTCCCGGGCATCATTTTGTAATTGTGCTGCTTGCTTTTACCTGGGGTAACCCCAGACGTGATTGCAAATGTCACGGAGTCAACGCAGAAGCGAGCCACACAGGCCACAATATTCTCCGCGTAGTTAAACTTGTCAGCCATGTTTGCGTTTAAGACGCAGAGTTAATAGCACGTGTATGCCTCGTTTCCATGACCACTGGGAACCAGGCTCTGCCAGGCCACTTCTCTCCCAAGCCAGGTCCAGCATCAGCACCAGCACCAGGTCGCACAATCTTGATGCTCTGTGGGCTCAGCCCTTCCAACTCCATTCCCTCACAACCTATTTTCCTCGCTATTACCCACAGCCATGGGAGAAATATTTTTTTAAAGTTTTAACAAATAATTGTACAGTCTTGGCAGACATTGTTTTCAATATTGCTGAGTACATTCGAATGCATGCATGCACAACAGCGCTTACATTATGCAGGGACTTTATTCAAAATGGCACAACTGGTGATTGTATTTCTGTGTTTTTATTTGTATAGCTTGCGAATGTGTGCAGCAGTGTCGATGTGTATGTCCACTGCAGATGCGGATGGTGCTGTGTGTGACTTGCTATGCTCGGAGCATGGCTGCTGGGGGCCTGGCCCTGACCAGTGTATCTCCTGTCGGTTCTTCCGCCGTGCCCGCTCCTGTGTGGAATCCTGTTACATCACTGAGGGGTCAGCCGCACACAGTACCGATCATTCACTTGTGCATGTTTTTGTGCAGGCGTGAGCAACAAGTTCGCTGAACAGCGAATGCAACTGGAACGCACAGCAGAATTATGTATAGCAAGAGCAGTTATTGAAGATAGATGGGGATGAAAGTGTACACTGATAAAACTAAAATAAAACAAAAGCTGAAAATGATTACGGAGAGAGACATCCTTGGGAATTATACCAAGACTAATTGGAATACATCGATCAGGGAGCAAATGCATATAATATTTAATGCATCATGTTGAAGTTAAGGAATAATAAGTAGTCAATTAGAACGCATTGCTAAAGCTGATGGCCTTTGGACAAAACTGATGATTAGAATAGCAGCCAAAGGAAAGAATGCGTCTGGAAAGATGACCACTGTGGAGATAGTGATGAGATCGGTTCGCATATAGAATGTGATAGATTGTAGCATCAAAGGACCATGAGAATGGTGACATAATAGGGAAGCCTTTATCTAACAATGGAAAGACAATAGTAGATGATGGTGAGAGTCCATTCAGACATTAGTCTCTTTTGCAAGGGAGACCTGGAATGTTAAAAGTACAGTACAAATAGCTTGATGCAAAAAAACAATGCAACTATTAAATCTACGTAAATATAAAATTCTTCATAAGTTATAGGTGAAAAACAATTATAAAACAAACTTCTGCTAGACATTTAAAACAAATAATTTGGACAATTTTCAGAACTCTGATACAACACCAGCCACCTGAGTCACCTACAGCAGTAAGCCAGTGATGATTGCATATCGTAAAGTTGATATAATTTCGTGCATTATAAATTGCAGTTCTCTCCCTCATGAGTGGTGCTTTGAAATAATCAATTGTATTGTTTTATGTGAAGAAGCTGATAGACTAAAAACAGATGTTGAGTTTGGAGAAATACATTATTACATTTTGAAGTGATTCAATGCGTTCCATTGTCATACTTATTCAAGACATTATCAATATAAAGCATGGAGACATGTACCCCATGCTTCTAAAAAAAAAAGAATTGACACACTTCATCGTGTTTCCTGCTTCTTGAGTGTTCTATAATTCATGGTTCCATGTGAATTCTTCACAAGCTCCTGATGTTCCTGCAGAGCACGCATCACATGGCAGGCTGGCATAGGCTCAAAATAGTTTTGCCCCACGTTTGGCTGTGAGGAATGTTCTGTGAAACGGTGTGCGAAATGTGGGGAAAGCCATATCCACTATCAGTCGGAATTTATATATCCAGATTGCAACTATATCTTGGGTTTGCAACTTTTTATAAATTTTTATAAAAATATGTTTTGTTTCAAGATGTTAAGATTTCAGTCTGTAACAGTGTTCCACGTTGTGATTTATTGAACATAACTCAAAGGAATGCTTATAAAGTTCCCATGTTAGTGTATATTAATTCTAGTTTGCACATTTTCAATAAACATTTAAAAGTGCGTTTTTACAACATTATTAAACTTTAGTTATTAATGTCCTTCAGTATCGTTTAACAACTTGCATTTAACTTTCATTGATATTTACCGCACGTATAAACCACATCTCATTGGAAAATATGTATCTATGTTGTAATTTATTGCACGTATACTGAATCAATATATGAAGGACACAAAGTCTGCTTGTTTATTTTGTTACCTTTTTTATGAGTCGCTGGTTAATAAAAAAATACATTCGCTCTTAAAATGCATGGTACACTGGGAATGAACTAAAACATATGCAAACTGCAGAGCATGACTGTAATCATTTCAGTAAATGATTCTTTAAATTTAACTATTAAAGCGCTAACTACCATAATACCTTTTTATTTGTTTGATTTGTAACAGCCCATATTCTGTGATATGAAGCTTTGTCGCAATGTACACGCAGACATTTAGCCATGGAACGCCATCTACCCCCATCGGTGCACTTGAGATACAAACAAGAAATATTTTCAATTATCTTCAAGCATAAGTACTTATCGACTGTACCATAGCATGTTCTACTCGTTGCATATGGATATTTTGTCATCATTGAAAAACAAGCAATTGTGTTAAGAAATTCCTCTGGAGGAATACCACAAACCAGCAGCACTTGTGCATTCAAGATATATTGCAAATTAACAAAATGCAGAGACTTTGATGTACTCATGGTCACATTTCTACGACTGCCAAACTGGTCCCCCCAGTCTGTAAAACTGGTCCCACCAGCCTGTAAATACCATACACTAGGGTTAATATAACACTGAAAGTAGCACTAGGATTATGCGAATATTGTTTTTCTGGATGAGAGGATTACCATATATTTTTTGCTAAATAAAAATCGGACAAGGATGTCAGTATTTTCACATGATTTTCTTAAAGCCCACCTATAAATGTTCTACATAAAATAATCTGACCATTGAATGTAGCCAAGATGGCTGGCCTTTAAAACCAATATCGTAAACTGTTTTGCAGCTTCATTATTTTTTAAAATCAGCAATGCATTTATTAAAGGGGCAGAGCAGTGAAAAAGCTGTGATCAATTGATAAATAAGAGTTCTTGGGTGTCTGTAAACAAACAAGTGGTATATTTGTTATAATGGTCCATAAATATATGCTAAGATCGTGTCTTGTAACCTTTTTTATTGACCAAATTCTGATATTGCACTGTATCTTTTCAAAATCTAGTGTTATATTAACCCCAGTTGGTGATCCTCATTATAGCAGCAGTGCCATACCTCTTTCTGCTGCTAATTCCACGCATGCCTGTATGCTATTGAAGAGTCAGTCTACGTTACTCAACGTGCACCGCATCGCAATTCCACTGCGGTTTGATCGCCGTACAATTTCTGGTTCATTTTGCTCACGGTTTTTTTCGCATGCCTCTGTGAGCGCAGGCCATACCGTGAGCACATGCAGGACGCCGTGTGTGCACCTTGCGACCCCGAATGCCTCCCTGTGAACGACTCGGTCACCTGCTTTGGCCCGGTACATACACATCCCCTCCCCGCTCCTCCCCAACAGCTTATTCCATGTATTCACAACTTGGCTAATCTATTATTAAGAGCTTTGTTTATTTTTTTCTGTTTTATTGTACCAGCTAACACCTCCGCTGCCACAACTGCCACTTCGGAAATATTGCTTACGGGTTTTACATAATTTATTGCTGCTACGGGCAGACATATGCTGCAGCCACAATTCATTTATGCAAAAGCACAATGCTAAGCAGAGAATCTCATACATGTTTTAGCAGATCTTTAACCCATGTGCCTCCAGTTTCCATTAGTTTTGCATATAAATTGGTACAAAAATATCACTGCATGAGTTACATAAAGAATGGTAATTTCTATATATATAAAAAAATATATATTTCATTGGCTAATTGTCCCTACACCTTTAAATATCAAAGCCTCCCAAAATAGGGATGCAATGCTTGTTTCATGTTTTATATATATATCTATATTTGCTTTATTTGAGAACTAAACAATTTCCATTTCAATACATTTCAAATTGGCAATTAATGGTTTACACGAGTATATCAAGACAAAGACTAATCAGGATGGGCAGAAGCAAAGGAAGGGCAGTTTTTTAAGAAATATACTATTTAAACAGTCTGCATCAGCAGCCGGCCATGCTTTCCCACCTGATGACGGACGCTTGTGTTGCGCCCGAAACGTGATTTATTTAATTTTATACCTACGTGACTTTACCGAAAGAACCAAAGAGTATGGATTCCTGCAGTCACGAAAGCTTCAAATCAAGATTAAACAGAGTTGTTTGATTTCGTGAAGAGATCGTAATGTACACAGACAGGAGAGGGGAGTAAGCAATTATTGGAGAGAATAAGCGCAAGAGATGATGCTGAAAGGGGAGACTAACAGAAGTTCCATTCTGATGCCTTTTCACAGGGCTCCAACAGCTGCGTACGTTGTGCGCACTACAAGGACGGCCCCCACTGTGTGAGTGCGTGTCCCGTTGGGGCACAGGGTGAGAACGACGAGATCATCTCAAAGTACCCCGACAAGAACAATACTTGCCAGCCCTGCCACCCCAATTGCTCCCACGGGTGAGCGCACACAAACACGGCATGCACAAGCGCACACTCGCAGGCACAAGCTTCGGGACCAAACGTGAGCAAGAGTGAGCAATCTGTCCCTTTAATGTGCTCAGCATCACAAAAACCATTGTAAAGGTCAACAGATGTATAGATTGGAGAACCCCCTAGGTGTTGGAAATGGGAGCCACACAAGCTCATGGAAATCCAAATCCGAGAATAGGAATCGGCACACACACGCGTACACATGAACATCACGGCTCCTTCATGAACTCGCTTTTTTTCTCTCGTAATTAGACCGACATTGTGTGTAGAATTATTCAAAGAATAAAGAAAAACAATGAGACTTTTCAACATATTCATGTCATTCATGGCTGGTTGGAAGTTTTTTTTTTATTTCTAAAATAAACTGCAGATTTGTTCTGTTATTGCTCCTTTATTGGATTCCGGGTGAACATTCGCACTATCAGTGCAGTCACAGTCACGCACACTGATTCCCATATTATCCTGGGAGGATCGTCATTTTCAATCACAGAGAGCTCTTCTTAATAAGCTGCCCATTGCTATGCTAAGTGTACAGTTGAGGCCATGCATTTTGCATAGTAAAGAAGGTGGATGGCCCTGGAAAAATTGATGCGCTTGACTTAAAAAAAACTAACATCATCTTGTTTGGTGCACAAAATAATGACCTAACATTGTATTTCCACTTGTAGGGCGCCACGGTGGTGAGATGTTAACTACCTTGCCTGGTATACAGGAGGTCGTGGGTTCAATCCTGACCCTGAAGTCTGTATATTTGGAGTTTGCATGTTTTCCCCATGGTCGTGTGGATTTTTCTGCGGTTCCTCTGGTTTTTGCCTGCACATTTAGAAACGTGTTTAGAGTATTCAGGTGCTATAAATGTTCACACGATAAGCCACTTCATTGAGCTATCATTTATGGCCAGGTCGCTTCTGAACAAGAGCTATATAGCTCAGTGGGACTTACCTGATAAAAAAAAGTGTAGTTTGTTTTGTAGAGAACCCATTGCTCTACAATAGAAATTAAGAGATCATTGTTCTGAAATCTTGTACTCAGAGCACTAAAAGTAATCGGCTTTTTAAAGTAATGAAATGCCAACAATATTGTGAGTTTTTTTATATTTCTAAAATTTTAAGAATATTAAAAGTGAAATATTTACATTAATAGGAGCACAAACTTAAAATAGCAATTTTAAATTAACCATGTCAGTCTTCTGTATTCGATACTCCCATCTCTTTGATGACATATCTCTTGCTATGTTTAATTATGTTTGATTTGTAACAATATATTTAATCAACGTATTTAATATATCCTCAATTATCATAAACATATTACGTAACTTTTGAAATATATCCTCAGTTATCAACAGTATACTGTTAGGTTCTTTTGGTAAAGTCACGTAGATAGGAAACTAAATAAATAATAGATCACGACGCTTCGATCGTAACGATAAGCGATTGTCCTATATAATGCCTCGTCACAGAGGCATATTTCTCTCTTTCATCCGAGGATGGCCCATTATTTATTTATTTACTGTATACGTGACTTTACCGAAATAACCTACAGTAAGAGTATGAAATCCTGCAGTCACGAAAGCTTATAATCAAGATTGAACCGCCTCTACGGGGAGGTTTTCCACACAACTCAGACATAATTTCAACCGAGAAGATGGATGCAAAATTTAGCAATCTTTGGAAGGACGTTGATCAATCAGGTAAAGTGTTAACTGTTGTGTTAGCCGACTCAAATTTTGTTAAGTTTGATATCTCAGCTTCCTTGTCACATTTCTTTTTCTATCTCTTGCCCAAGCCCTCTTTGAATTTTATCCCCACCCCCTCGCCCCTTTACAGCCTCCCCTCCCCCCATCCCCCTAAATAATGCCTCGTCACATATGCATGTTTCTCTCTTTCACCTGAGCACGATCGCTTGTTGTTGCGATCGAAACGTCGTGATCTATTATTTATTAATTTTCTTAGCTACGTGACTTTACCGAAATAACTTAAGAGTATGAAATCCTGCAGTCACAAAAGCTTCTAATCAAGATTGCCAACTAATTTCGATTTAAAGCTTTCGTGACTGCAATGATTCATCTTCTTTGGTTCTTTCGGTAAAGTCACGTAGAATGAGAATAAAATAATAAATTGATAAAATAAAATAACACAATAATATTCTCACGACGTTTCGGCCACAACACAAGCGGCCTTCATCAGGTGAAGGGGGCGAGACTGTCTGGTAGGACAGCGCTGGAGTGGAGCCTCTTGTGTTGTGGCCGAAACGTCGTGAGAATATTATTGTGTTATTTTATTTTATCAATTTATTATTTTATTCTCATTCTACGTGACTTTACCGAAAGAACCAAAGAAGAAGATTACCAACAGTATATTAAAAAAAATTATGTAATAAAAATTAGTTTGCACCTATTGTACATAAATGATTTGTATCATTCTGGGCAATATAATGTAATTGCTATGTTTGATTTTTGACAACATGAAATTAATCAAATGTTTGATTATTAGAAATATTAAATAATGTATGTTGAACATTTGAGGATAAATCAACTCAAGAGGTATCATTCATGTTAAATTATCAAACGTATATACTGCATTTAAATATGTTGTGGATTTTCCACTGCTTGTGCTGACTGAATTGACAATGTATAAACTACACAGCCCTTTTAAATATGTTCAGGTCTGGTTGGATAGTGTGTGGGATACGTTTCTCTGGTATGGCGGGCACAGGCCACGTGCAGTTAGCCATCCCCAGAGTCAGATGGTGAGGCAGGAAACTGCGGTAGGCCGAGCAGGCCACTCCAATCCTGGGTAAGCATTCAGGAAAAGAGGCTGTATAGGTGGGCTTAAATTACTTCCACCAGAATTCAATAATGATGCAATCGAAAGAAAATAATTGTTCTCATATCGATGGGACCTTTTCGTCAGTATCAAAATGATGAAAGAATAAGAATAGGCTTTAACCTTTCTGGCAATAAAACTGTTCGCCTTTTGGCAATCTCTGGTCTAACACTTTTGAGACACGGCCATAAGGAAGGCTGTCTCTGGTGTAGGCCAATTAGTTTCAAAGACAATGCATACATTACACTATGTGACACAATTTTTGTTCCTGGGTAGTAAGTATTATTTCAAAATTGCTTATGCCTAAAAAGCATAGAAAATGGCTATTATTCCCCACAAACTTTGCTTTTGTGACCAGGACAGTGATATTTAAAATTTTTCCTATTTTCAATGAGAAAACTGGCGAATATGTTTTGTTTCGTTCACATAAAGTCAGAAAAAAACAAGATATGAATAAAAATGAACATGTATTTATGCTAAAGTAATACAAAAATTACTACAAAAGATTTAGAAGTGAGGCAATTTTCGAGATTTACGATTATACTGTAAAGCACTTTCACGAATCAGCCCCCATCATGTTCTCCTTATACTGTCCTTGGTAGCAGCGTTCAAAGTCCAGGATATCCTGGTGGAAGCACTGGCCTTGCTCCTCCGAGTACGCTCCCATGTTCTAAAGATGAGCATCAAGGATACGGACTTTGAGGGACATCCTACAGCCCATTGTGCCATAGTTCTTCACCAGCTCCAGGAAGCCACGAACCACTGCGACAAAGCTGTTCCAAGCCGCTTCCTCCTTACTAGTGAGCATCTTGGGGAATGTATTGCACTCCAGGATCTTCTTTATCTGTGGTCTGACGAAGACACTGGCTTTGATCTTTACCTCAGACAGCTTAGGGAAGAAGTCTTCAAGGTACTTGTAGGCTGCCGACCCCTTATCTACAGCTCTGACAAATTGTTTCATGAGGCCCAATTTGATGTGCAGTGGTGGCATCAGCACCTTCCGGGGGTCCACCAATGGCTCCCACTTGAAGTTGTTCTTCCCCACATATAACTCGGTCCGCTGTGGCCAGTCCCGCCTGTGGTAGTGTGCCTTGGTGTCCCTGCTGTCCCAAATGCAAAGATAGCAGGGAAACTTGATAAACTCGCCTTTAATACATTTTATAACATAAAATTCCGAGCAACAGTCCATCTTACTTTCCAGAGTTTTTTTGCATTGCTCGCAGGTGAAATAAGGTGCCCAGTGTTTGCCTTGATCCCCGACAGGCATGCCGAAATATGCCTTATAGGCCTCACATATCTTAGCAGATGCTTCCACAGAGTACTTCTTCACTCTTGTCTTGATAAATTTGCCGCAAACATAGCAAAATGCATCTGCCGGATGCTTGTAGCCTCTTGATGCCATCTCAAAAATGCAGATATGTATCCACTTAGGCAGCTGGAACTAAACTGAACTAGTGGGCTTAAGGCCCCTGTATTTATATTACTGAAAAGTTCTAGAATGTTCTCGAAAGAAAATAAATTTAATAATAGAATACGACGTTTCGATCACAACACAAGCAACCGTCATCAAGTAACAATGAATGAGAAAACAAACCTAGTAAACTTATAAATATAATGCAATACAACACAGAGAGTCGGCTAACAAAAAAGTTGGCACCTTACCTGGTTGATTACATTCTTCCAAAGATTGCTTAATTTGAGAGAGAGAGACAAAACACAGACACGGAGACACATAAACATACACACAAGTAGATAGAGACACAGAGAGAGACACAACATAGACAAATAGAGAGACAACGCCTCTGTGTCGAGGCCTTAAATAGAGAGAGGGGGCGGGGGGTGGGGCAGAGAGAGAGAGGTGGGGGGTAAAGAAAAATGAGAGAGTTGTGTGGAATTACTGCATTGGCATTGCTGCTACATTGGCATTGTTGCTGCATTGGCATTGATGCTGCATTGGCATTGATGCTGCATTGGCATTGTTGCTGCATTGGCATTGTTGCTGCATTGGCATTATTGCTACATTGGCATTGCTGCTACATTGGCATTGTTGCTGCATTGGCACTTGTGCACCGCCCATGCTCCTGGTGGTGTTGATACACTTGGGCTACGCCCATCCCCAAACCTTTATAAACAGTTTTCCTTTAGAGGCTGACTCCTTTGCCTGATGACGACCACTTGTGTTGCGATCGAAACGTCGTGATTTGTTTTATTTTATTTATAACTACGTGACTTTACCAAAGAGTACTATTATTATTTAATTTATTTTATTTTGACGTGACTTTACCGAAAGAACCAAAGAGTAATTCTTGCAGTCACGAATGCTGCGAATCAAATGTTATAGAAGTTACTCCGAGTTTACTCAGCACTGAATCTATCTCGAATGTTCTGGAAAATAGGTACATTTCAAAATATCACTGTCCTGGTCACAAAAACAAAGTTTGTGTAGATTAATAACCATTTTCTGTACTTTTGAGGCATAAGCAATTAGGAAATAACACTTACTAACCAGGAACAAAAAAAATGTATTACCCAGTGTTATCAGAGCATGTTTGTTTGCATGTTTTGCTTCAAGCATATGTGGTTAATGCAGACTTGATGCCTTACCATAGGTATCTAATTGGCTTCTGAACATTTTAACACCTGCTGTGTTGCCAGAAAGGGTAAAGCCATATTCTTGACGTAAATAATATTTAAAAGAGTATGTTTATTAAAACAAATATGTTGATTAAAACATCTAACTTATACTTGTAGGTGCTTTCAACCAAGAGGTGTATCCGTAATTTAGATGAAGCATATTTGGCTATTTTGAAAACATCTTTACTTTCCAAATGTTCCCTAATACCATTTGAGATATGCATCTTTTTAAGTTATTGTTATATTTACAGAAACTTTCACTTGATAAAATAGCAAGCAGTTTCACTAAAATTTGATATTAGCAGTGAAGAATTAATATTTACCATTGATTCACTTAAAATAGTAATTGCTATCAATATATGTTTTCCCTTTATGTAAATTTTTGACCCGTGGTATCCTTGGCCCAAATGGCAAATGTGCAATGGAATAGTTGTATTTTTGGCGGGAGGCTGATGAATTTCAACAATACTGAGCATGACGTTTTTGTTTATTGCCCTATCATTTGCCGTAATGTGCAGGTGCAAGGGAGGAGGCCTGTTGGACTGCCATCTAATTGGCCCTCTCTTTAGGTAGGCTTCGCGACGTGCGATGACTTGTGTGTGTGGTGTCCTGTGCGCACAACATGACTGAACAATTGCAATCAAATGCAGGTGCATTGGCTTCACAGAGCAGGACTGCACTCAGCCGTGGGTGGAACCGGCCCTTCACTATGGGAATAGGTAACGCCAAGCAAACCCGTCTGTGCTTCTCTCTGCGGCGCCGCAGCTCCTCGGGTGTCTTAACTAACCTCCCGGAAACGTTATTCACCTTGCTTCAGTTCCTCAAATCATCTAATTACACCGTCGTTTGGGATTTCCCTCTTTCCATTCTGCCTCGATTTGTTTACTAACATAACCGAGATTTAATTCATGGACAATGATGTTGGATTCCTTACACGAGCACTCATTTCTCTTCACCTAATTTAATAATATTGCATGCGTACAGAAATTAGCAACTCATGTGACCCTTTCAGCTTTTCACTAATATTATCTGCCAAACAGTTGGCCACTTCTACGCAAATATATTGTCATGTAATATAGTGTCAAAATTAGAGTACGTATTTATAGTGTTATTTGTTACATCACTAATAATTTAACATAAAATATATTCGCAGTTGTCATCAGTTACGAGGAACTGCAATATAATCAGCTTAAAATGGACAACATTCCTAAATTGAGGCTGTATCTATTTCAAACAAGATACATGAACATGTTAATTGTAGTACATAGTGTCAGATCCTTTACACTAGTGTGAACAGGAAACTTTAAACAAGTGGTCTGTATCTTAAGCCCCTAAACAAGAGATGAAAATGCATTACAAATATTGTATGTGTTATAGCGATGCTATTTCTGGCATCTATAGTGAGGGAAAAAAGTATTTGATCCCCTGCTGATTTTGTACGTTTGCCCACTGACAAAGAAGTGATCAGTCTATACTTTTAATGGAAGATTTATTTGAACAGTGAGATACAGAATAACAAAACAAATCCAGAAAAACGCATGTCAAAAATGTTATAAATTAATTTGCATTTTAATGAGGGAAATAAGTATTTGACCTCTCAATCAGAAAGATTTCTGGCTCCCAGGTGTCTTTTATACAGGTAACGAGCTGAGATTAGGAGCACACTCTTAAAGGGAGTGCTCATAATCTCAGCTTGTTACCTTTATAAAAGACACCTGTCCACAGAAGCAATCAATCAGATTCTAAACTCTCCACCATGGCCAAGACCAAAGAGCTCTCCAAGGATGTCAGGGACAAGATTGTAGACCTACACAAAGCTGGAATGGGCTACAAGACCATTGCCAAGCAGCTTGGTGAGAAGGTGACAACAGTTGGTGCGATTATTCGCAAATGGAAGAAACACAAAATAACTGTCAATCTCCCTCGGCCTGGGGCTCCATGCAAGATCTCACCTCGTGGAGTTTAAATGATCATGAGAACGGTGAGGAATCAGCCCAGAACTACACGGGAGGATCTTGTCAATGATCTCAAGGCAGCTGGGACCATAGTCACCAAGAAAACAATTGGTAACACACGACGCCATGAAGGACTGAAATCCTGCAGTGCCCGCAAGGTCCCCCTGCTCAAGAAAGCACATAAACATGCCCGTCTGAAGTTTGCCAATGAACATCTGAATGATTCAGAGGACAACTGGGTGAAAGTGTTGTGGTCAGATGAGACCAAAATAGAGCTCTTTGGCGTCAATTAACTCGCCATGTTTGGAGAATGAGGAATGCTGCCTATGACCCCAAGAACACCATCCCCACCGTCAAACATGGAGGTGGAAACAGTATGCTTTGGGGGTGTTTATCTGCTAAGGGGACAGGACAACTTAACCGCATCAAAGGGACAATAGACGGGGCCATGTACCGTCAAAACTTGGGTGAGAACCTTCCCTCAGCCAGGGCATTGAAAGTGGGTCATGGATGGGTATTCCAGCATGATAATGACCCAAAACACACGGCCAAGGCAACAAAGGAGTGGCTCAAGAAGAAGCACATTAAGGTCCTGGAGTGGCCTAGCCAGTCTCCAGACCTTAATCCCATAGAAAATCTGTGGAGGGAGCTGAAGGTTCGAGTTGCCAAACGTCAGCCTCGAAACCTTAATGACTTGGAGAAGATCTGCAAAGAGGAGTGGGACACAATCCCTCCTGAGATGTGTGCAAACCTGGTGGCCAACTACAAGAAACGTCTGACCTCTGTGGTTGTCAACAAGGGTTTTGCCACCAAGTACTAAGTTATGTTTTGCAGAGGGGTCAAATACTTATTTCCCTCATTAAAATGCAAATCCATTTATAACATTTTTGACATGCGTTTTTCTGGATTTTTTTTGTTGTTATTCTGTCTCTCACTGTTCAAATAAACCTACCATTAAAATTATAGACTGATCATTTCTTCGTCAGTGGGCAAACGTACGAAATCAGCAGGGGATCAAATACTTTTTTCCCTCACTGTAAAACATTCTAATATGCATTGTTCATGAATGGTGTTTTAAGAGTTTGTTCACTAATTGACTAAAACAAGCTAATATACCACCCTTTAAAACTGGTAAGAACAAACATTTCTAATACTAGTGAGTTATCACTGGCTCAGGATCACTTATGCCTCAATAATAATTTAAGCAAAGAGACAGACGTATTATTTTGTATCTGATACTCATAGATTATAGTTGCGCACTGAGTGGCTCGTGTAAATTATAATAATGTTCTTGAAGGGTTAGATATTAAAAGGACGCATCAGTTTAAAATCTTGAATTGCTTTAAATATCATAACAAGGGAGGGAGGGTAGGGAATGTGCGCTCAGACCTGTCCTATGGAGACATTGGGTTTTGTGCAGGAGGATTTTGGATCATAAGACTGCACCAGGGACGGTCTAGTACATCTGTGCATGTGTATACCATTATATGTTATATTTTATGGACACAATTTGATGAAATAATATTCACGATTGTGATCGTTTCACAGATATACACCTGTGTTTTATTGTTTCCTTCCACACACGCCAAACTTGTGTATATACGTGGTTTTCTAGAAATAGCTTGCATCAAGATCAGTTTGACAAGTGCATGCCCTGCAACTAATGCTGCAGTCCTATTCCTTCAATGTTATTGTGTTGTACAATATAGCGAGAGTTCATGGAGTTATAATTGTTGTCAGACTTCCTAGTACATCTGGTGGAGGGAAAGGTTCCGTGTACAGTGCCACATTGATGTCCTGATCACAGGTCCTCCCACGCAGTGCAACATTGAACTGCGCAAATTATTTTTTTCTTTGTAATTTTCTGCTACTTTCCATCAAAACACATGGCTTGATCACTGAGGTATCAAGTCTGATGTCATTACTCAGTTGAAATTGTCAGGAAGAGCTCCCATGTCACGGCATTGATATTAAAATTGTTGGAGATGTGAGCAGTCATGTGTGCAGGTGCTAATCTTATTGCAATATGTTAGTTTAAATTTGTCGCGTGCATTTGTTTTCATCAATTCTCCGAGTGAAAGCCTCTTCTTGGAAATGTTTGTTATTACAGTGAACTGCTCATAGCCAAACTAATCACTCAGTACAATGTTTTATTAAATATATATTTACATGTAAATAACATATGATAAATAAAAAGTAGAATTAACTAAATGTTTAATACTTACAACTTAGTAATACTTGAAATACATGACAGTTTTTTTAAGTCACTTGCCATCACCGTGAAGCAGAGGTAGAAGGTCAAGGTTCACTGAATGTGGAAGACTGAATAGGTTTGCTGGTGGGCTAGAAGAATGTATTTTGTTTATTTGTGAAATATATAGAAAATAATAAAAAAAACAATAGAGTGCGTGAGCAAAGCATGCGAATTGGGTTAATGGTATTTGCTAACTAAGTACAGTATATGGCTTTTGAGTTCCTAGTGTACAACTGAATGTCGATTGTACTTATTATTAAGTAAGAATGTCATCTGTTATGGCGCAAACCTTTAATTATTGTGGAAAACTGTTTCCGTTGGAGTGTTTTTTGTTTAATTACATTTTATTCGTTTATTTAAGGTAGCCTTTCTGACTTCCTCCTAAATCTGGGTTACTAGAATCTGGCTTTGAGTGCAATGTCATATTTTGCGATATGGAACAAAAGATGCGAGTCATGCAGAATGTCAAAACATGAAAGCAGCTGTGGTCCGAATTAGCATAGCTTTCATTATTTATTTAATTTTATATTTTACATCAGCGATTTGGACCAAAACTGGCACTTAAAGTTTGAAACTCAAGTGTAGGACTTTTCATCGTGTACACAAAGCCTTTTGCTATGCATACATATTCAAGGGTTTTGTTTTACAAAAAATAACACCAAGTGCCCTGAAGAATTCCCTTTTTTATTTTCATGAAAAATACGAATCTAACATATACATTTGGGGTTTGCAAAAATATCTTTGAAGCACTTTGAACAAAAGACTCCTCGAAGCTGCTCTTTTATCGTTGTAGAGGCATGGTTCTATTCGAACTGAATTAAAAAGCCATCCACACTGTGAATTAAAATTTGAAGGTAATTACATGCAGCTCTGTGACGGAACCAGTGCCTTTCCTGACATTTACACGGGCTTGCCAATTTAAATGCCTCGAGTAAAGTGTACCTCGTCCTTACTAAATTACCAGTGCTGCCCGCAAGGATTCCTGTCTCCCTGCTGACCTTTTCTGGTCGCCCTTCCAATTTCCTACAGAGCTCTGGTGCTCAAACTCATTTTTAATGCCGTAAGGTGCAAGCACCGAGGCTGTATTTATACGTAGCATCCGTAGTTTTTCGACAACAATCTGTTGTTTAATGCTTACACAAGTTCTCCATATTCATCATCTTGTTGATACAGATTTATATTGGTGCTTCCTCGCTGCAGATGTTGAGTTGAATGTTCCAAAGCTATAAACCACATCAACAGGGCATCCGAAGCTTGTTTTCATGCAGCGGTGTTGTTCGTCACCAGTTATTGACTATGTTTCCCTGCTCTGCCTCATTTACAGCCAGACAGCCTTAATACTCCAGCATAATCGCTAGATACGAAAATATTTGTGCCCCACTTGAATTGACAAACATTCATCGCTTAGCAACAGGCCATCGAGTTCAGTGGGGCAGTGTATGTAGCGCATCTGCTTGTAAGAGAGATGAGGGATGTTGTCCCCCTCTGAGTTAGGGCGCCTGATGCGTTGTCTTGAGCTCTGCGTATTGCCATTACATTTTTAGACTTTGCTACGCACGAAAGGTACGCGATTCATGTGGACATGGTTGTTTGTTCAATGTTCGCCGAAGCTGCAGGTGCTGAATTGCATTTCACAGGATACAGCTCTCAACGTTGCTCTTTTTTTACATTGGAAAATAATCTCATGGCACACACAAGCTGTTGGTGTTGGTGAGCTGTTTGTGAGCCGCTCTAACCAGATAAGATGTCAATATAAATGTATTAAAGCTCTAATATCCCGATACAAAATGCAATCAATTTCGGAGGCTAATTTTTAATGATGTGCCCATGCTCCAGTGCACATATGCAGCGCTTAGCTCCTTTTTTCGTAAAATGTTTCAAAATTGCTTCTGACACCATCACTTAATTCAGGAAAAGAATATAAAATAGAAAGTAATATTGTTTGAAAAATTCAAGAGTTATACGTACCATTCTTTGGCCATAAACGGCAGGGCGGTGGGCAGGATATTGGTGGGGAACCAGGCCTGAAGGAGAATCACTGTTTTGTGTTGTGTCATGTGGGCAGGACCGGCTCCCCAGTGCTGGCGGTCATGGCAGTGGGGGGGCTGTTTGCCTGCGTCATGCTGCTGCTGCTTGCCGTCGTATGCGTTCGTCGGCGCAACATCGCGCGCAAGCGCGCCATGCGGCGCTACATCGAAAAGGAGGTGAGCCTCGGCAGAGACTACAAGGAAACTCACACACTTAACTCTAAGCTAAAGTTTAGCCGATGATGAACAGAAAAAAGCTGTGCGCAACTTGAATCAAACAAACAAACAACGATCAATGTTCCTACTTTTATTTCAACCAGATTGCTGTGCAAATGCATTTTTCTGATGAGATTGCCGTGTACATGCATCATATCGTAGAAATCCTAATGTATGTATGTTGAACGCATGGATGGACTTCCTCTACAGGAGAGCTCTAGAGAGCTCTCCTGTAGAGGGTATTTGGCCTACTCTTCCACACTGGCCAAACATCTTAGCAGAGATGTGAGTACCCCAAATGTTATCCTACAAGATGCGACCTGCCAATCGTTTGACTTTGGTGTACCTGTTCATACTTGTGTGTGTATATGTATTTATGTATGTTGAACTTCTTTCGCTCCAAACATATCCAACCGCATACCATCCGATTAATTTGCTTACACTCAGTGCATTAAGTCCAACTCACAGTGCTACGAAACATTTGTGGTGCACAGATTCCACTGCCACGTGAACTTCAAAACATACGGTGTTCCTTTAAAAAGTCACGCATCATCGTGTCCCAGTACAATAGCCAACATTCACAAATTGACAATTAAATTTAAGTTGTGAAGAAAATACTATTCGTTGTTTATAAGTCTGTTTTGCAATATATATGTGTAGTATCTCAATAGGTTTCCACCGACTTAAAGCTTTCGTGACTGCAGGAATTCATATTCTTTGGGTCTTTCGGTAAAGTCACGTAGATAGGTTCAAATTAATAAAATACAAATAAAAATGTTTATGATCAAATGACTTCATACAGTACATATTAAATTATAACAATAATTATATTGTCATGAAGGGGAGGTACAGGGAAGGACAACAAACTAAAGACAAAAAGCAGTTCTAAATAAATTAATTTTTACAATCTAGATCATTTAAAAGTGCATAGCTCCAATAGCTTTCTAATATTAGAAGGAAGAGATTCAAGACGGCCGCAGAAGCGAATCTGATGCGGTGACCGTCTTTGTTCGATGGCTAGCTAAAAGCCGCTGCAAGGATGGCCCGAGTTTCTGTGATGGTTTATGCTCCTTGACAAGAAAATAATTATTCTGATCACAGCAACACTGGGGATATGCAAGTGAAGCTCAAGATACACATGTATGGTATTAGGCTAACATCTTGCTATATTGGCTTTCCAACCTCATTCCAAGCGATTCCTCTTATAACTCGGAAACTGCACACCTCCATGTAACATGGTTCCCATTTATCGTTTAGCATGCAATAACTCTCCCAACACCCTACAAAAAAAATCACTGGTCCACCCAAGGATGGAGAACTGCTTCCACATCTCAGCTGTTCGTTTAGCACGTAGGCTTAGCTGTTGTTGTGCAGGTGTTGTTGTGTCAAAGCTAAAAACTTTTGATGGACTCCGATCAAACCTTTTTGACAACCCAGGCCCCACTCATCTCTTGCCTCGTCTATCTCATCATTGCTCTGTTACCTGTCCACCCGTGCTACTCGTACATCTGTAGTGTACTAATTCAGAGACACTAGTAGGAGGCGTTATCCCTCTTGTTTATTCCAGCTCTCACAGCCATAGTGGATAACTCCATACCGGGTCGGGACAGCCAACATGCTTCCAGACCCACAGCTTGAAGAGGTGAAGACCACGACGACAGCAGCACGACGAGTTCCATTCCCGATGGCAGCAGCCCCGACTGTGAGTCGGAGCTCGCCTTTTATTCTCCTCAGTGTGGCCAGGCTCCGCCCTCGGCCATGCACCCTTCTGGATCCCCCAGAAGGCTCCGGGCTTGGCCCACGGGTCCAACTGGTAGAGCGGGCTGCTACCCCTAATTCCATTGTCTACCAATCTCCCAGCATCATGCGCTGCAGTGACTCATTCAATGTCACTAAATCAGCCCCCGCCGTGAAAAAAAAAACTGCCATCTTGGCTGACCTTTATACATCGCATACCGGGACGATGAATACAACAATATCCACGCAACATTCGCAATGCATGGCAACACTCCAGCCCCCAAAATATCAGCAACCGAACAATGAGTAGGGGCGGTCATCTTAACCGAACCGTCTTGGAATGGGTCTATGTCACCGGCCCCTCGTATGGGCCCGGCATGGATCTTCCGGGGACCCCAGGGGTAACCCGAGAAAGGCCCAACGGGCACAGTCCCTCCAAAGACGAAGATGGAGGAAAATAAGAAGCGGGTGGTGGTCATCCCGTCCACCCCGATCTGTCTGTGGGTGGCGCCGTCGGCGGTTCCATGGGTGTCAGGCCCTGGGATCCTGCAGATGGAGGAACAGAGCCTCGCTGAAGCGCATCATCTGTAACCGTACGTCCGGCTCCGTCGGACAAATCAAACACCCGGCCATCAGATGGTGGAGATAAAACGCCCTCATAAGGTGGAAGATAGTGCTTCAGTCGTGACGGGTGCACATACCAACGCCTGCGACCAACCTGGATCCGCACACACTGTGGCCTCCTCACCTCAATTACTTCCACCGGGACTTGCCATGGCCTATGTAATTTAGGAGACCTGCCTAGAGGCACCTGGGGGCAATGCAGTAATGCCCTCACCCCAGGTTTCCACGGGTTTTCAGACTCCTTAAGCCCAGCCAGTTTTTCATTCGCAGCCTGCCGCTTGGCCGAATTGCCACGGGACGCCTCCCGTGCTTCCGTCAACCGCTTAAGGGTGAGGCTCATAAGTCCCGGCACAGTGGCTCTCTTCTTGCTCGGCTCAATAATGAACTGGGCTTCCAACGGGGTGGTCACATTCTCTTCCATACATTAAAAAATTAGGAGAACCCGGTAGAGGCATGGGGAGCCATCCTATAGGCCGCAAGAATCCCCGGAACATGTAGGTCCCAATCGGACTGTGCCTCATTGACTTGTTGGCACAACATGGAAATAAGAATTCTATGTAAACGCTTTACCATTCCATCAGTCAGGGGATGGTAGGGTGAAGTTCGAATTTTCTTTGTACCCAACAAGTCACATACCTCTTGCAACAATTTTGAAGAAAAATTTCGACCTTGGTCCATAAGGAGACGTTCCAGGGCCCCTTTATCCAACACGTAACCATGCAGGAACACGTCCGTAATGGATGCCGCCAACTGATCCGGCAGGGGCCATGCCACCGACCATCGCGACAGGTACTCGCGATGGTTGGTGGCAGAGTGGTAGGAAATGGCTCGAGAATATCGACGGCAACGAGCTAATTTACACGGGACACCCCGATAGGCTGCAACGGTGTTCGGGCCAGCCTCGGTGGGGGCTTCCGGCGAGTACATTCCACGCAACTCTTAAGCACGTTGTGGACGTCTTCCAACATCCCGGGCCAAAAGAAGTCATGCTTCAACATCGATGTTTTCCGCACCCCTAGGTGCATCAGCCGCACATGGGCAGCTCTTGTTACCCTACCCCGCAGAGCAGTTGGCACAACGATACATTACCGCTGTACCTCCCTATCCCAGCGCATTAGTAGCCCATCTCGGAGGACCACGGGGCAAATACCCCTGGACCCTTCCTATCACTTGGCACACCAATGCGGTGCCGTATTTTCAGTAAGGAGGTGTCCTCTGCCTGGAGGAGCCCCCATTCCTCGTGCACAAGATCAATGGTGTTATCGCGTGCCACCACCACTACTGGCGGCGGAGCATCCACCGACGCTACAACGGCACCTGGCTCCCCTGCATCCACCTGCTTACAATGGCCGGTGCCCATAAAACACGCGCTCTTGCTCTTCAGCGATAACCATGACAGAGCGTCTGCATTTCAGTGGCACAACCCTTTCCTAAAGGTGACTTTGAACGAATAATCTTGCAAAATTTCCAACCATTGCGAGAGTTGCGCGGATGGCTGGTCAACGCGTAGCGCTTATTGCAAAGCCGCGTGGTCCGTGCATACCACGAACTGCCTGCCATAGAGGTACGGGCGGTACTGCTGTACAAAGTGCACGATATCATCTTCTTTGTAGGTTTTGACTTTAACATAGCTATTTCTGTGAACAGTCACAAGCTAATCCCTCAACTGTTTCAATGCTAAATTCTCCTGTTTGATATGTAAACCCCTTTGTCAAGGTGCCTCACTTCTCCCAACCAGCTTAAAAGACGCTGCGAATTTTAGCAGCGAATTTTAGCCGCGTTCATTGTAGCTCTGTCGTCCCGACAAGGTTTGTTCCTTTCACCTGAAGAAGGCCACTTGTGTTGTGGCTGAAACGTCGTGAGAATTTTATTGTTTTATTTTATTATTTTATTCTCATTATACGTGACTTTACCCAAAGAACCAAAGAAAATGAATCCTTGCAGTCACGAAAGCTTTAAATCGAAATTTAAAGTGCACGATAGCCAACAACTCGTGGCGCTTGACACAATAGCGCTGCTCTGTCGTGGACAGCACTCGGCTACTGTAAGCGACCATGCTCTCCACCCGGTTCTCCACCTGCGACAACATGGCGCCGATCCCGGTATCGCTGGCGTCCGTATCCAACACAAACTGCAAGGTGAAATCGGGGTACCGAAGGGGGGTTGCGTTCACGAGGCCGTCACGCAGCGTAACAAATACGGCCTCCTCCTCCTTCCCCCACCGAATCCTCTGGCCTTTTGCTCCGGGCGTGGCCCACAGGTCCAACTGATAGAGCGGGCTGCTACCCCTAATTCCATTGTCTACCAATCTCCCAGCGCCATGCGCTACAGTGATTCATTCAATGTCACTACACTTCCATAGTCAGTGCATTTCTGAAGTCTCTCACATTACTGCAGATGTCTGTTGACCTACTTGTGTTACTCACTTGCCTTCATCTCTCCATGTGAATTGTCTCCTTGTTGACCTACCACTCAAAGTGTTGTGTCTCTCAACTCTTCACGTTGCTCTCTTCGGCCATTTACCACTTTTATATAGACGTGTTTGATGTGATCAGTCTCGATTTTGTACAATTGAACAATTTCTACTCCTTCTGGCAGTATGACTTGTGCACAGGAGCAACTAAAAATGCCGTTCTTTGAAAGAAAATAAATCACGTACGCTGTACGCCGGACTCACGATCTATACATTTTAAGCCAGATTCATACTTTACATGGCATATATTTACTAAACAAAGGTAAACTAATGTTGTCCTCATACTTTTAAACAAAATTATGCACAATTACAGATTTTTTTTAATATCCACATTATGAACCACGATGTGCTATGAAAAAAAAAGGTAATTGTCCAAAGCATCCCCAATCACATATTTTCATTTTAGGCAGTGCCATTGATATTCCCTTCTTTGTTACATGTGCTTGCGCACCACTGCTAATGCAGTGTCACCAAATAAAGTGTTTTCTTTGGACTGTGCAGTATACGCCTTGTAAAGATATCACAGGTTATCCCCAACAGCCACGACTCATCAATGCAATGTCAGCGGTGGTGTTCTGCCTGCCTCCCCCCCCCCCCCCCCCCCGTTCTCCTACAGCTCGTGGAACCCCTGACTCCTAGCGGGGCAGCACCCAACCAGGCCCAGCTGCGTATCCTCAAAGAGACGGAACTCAGGAAGGGCAAGATGCTTGGCTCAGGGGCCTTCGGCACTGTGCACAAGGTGTGTGTAGCACAGCAGGTGATGGCAAAACCTAAGTGAAGCTGTATAGAAAGGATTTGGAGCCAGAACGCTGCTTTAAAATCTGCGTCCTTTTATCAATAACTGCATTCAGAAGCCTGCAAGTTTAATTCTTAGTCAATAGTCAAATCAGCTCATTGGTCCTTTTGGGTGTCACTGAATGCTCCGACAATATGCAGAGAGAGATGGGACACTTTAACGACATTCTGGGATACAGTGAGGGAAATAAGTATTTGACCCCTCTGCAAAACATGACTTAGTACTTGGTGGCAAAAACCCTTGTTGGCAATCACAGAGGTCAGACGTTTCTTGTAGTTGGCCACCAGGTTTGCACACATCTCAGGAAGGATTTTGTCCCACTCCTCTTTGCAGATCTTCTCCAAGTCATTAAGGTTTCGAGGCTGACGTTTGGCAACTCGAACCTTCAGCTCCCTCCACAGATTTTCTATGGGATTAAGGTCTGGAGACTGGCTATGCCACTCCAGGACCTTAATGTGCTTCTTCTTGAGCCACTCCTTTGTTGCCTTGGCCGTGCGTTTTGGGTCATTGTCATGCTGGAATACCCATCCACGACCCATTTTCAATGCCCTGGCTGAGGGAAGGAGGTTCTCACCCAAGATTTGATGGTACATGGCCCCGTCCATCGTCCCTTTGATGCGGTGAAGTTGTCCTGTCCCCTTAGCAGAAAAAAACACCCCCAAAGCATCATGTTTCCACCTCCATGTTTGACGATGGGGATGGTGTTCTTGGAGTCATAGGCAGCATTCCTCCTCCTCCAAACACGGCGAGTTGAGTTGATGCCAAAGAGCTCCATTTTGGTCTCATATGACCACAACACTTTCACCCAGTTGTCCTCTGAATCATTCAGATGTTCATTGGCAAACTTCAGACGGGCATGTATATGTGCTTTCTTGAGCAGGGGGATCTTGCGGGTGATGCAGGATTTCAGTCCTTCACGGCGTAGTGTGTTACCAATTGTTTTCTTGGTGACTATGGTCCCAGCTGCCTTGAGATCATTGACAAGATCCTCCCGTGTAGTTCTGGGCTGATTCCTCACCGTTCTCATGATCATTGCAACTCCATGAGGTGAGATCTTGCATGGAGCCCCAGGCCGAGGGAGATTGACAGTTCTTTTGTGTTTCTTCCATTTGCGAATAATCGAACCAACTGTTGTCACCTTCTCACCAAGCTGCTTGGCAATGGTCTTTTAGCCCATTCCAGCCTTGTGTAGGTCTACAATCTTGTCCCTGACATCCTTGGAGAGCTCTTTGGTCTTGGCCATGGTGGAGAGTTTGGAATCTGATTTATTGATTGCTTCTGTGGACAGGTGTCTTGTATTTCCCTCATTAAAATGCAAATCAATTTTTAACATTTTTACATGCGTTTTTCTGGATTTTTTTGTTGTTATTCTGTCTCTCACTGTTCAAATAAACCTACAATTAAAATTATAGACTGATAATTTCTTTGTCAGTGGGCAAACGTACAAAATCAGCAGGGGATCAAATACTTTTTTCCCTCACTGTATATCTACATGTATGTATGTTTAACTTTTTTTCGCACCGGACATAGCCAACCGTGCTAATCGGAAGTGTGGAGAAAGGAAAACAAACTAAACATAAAAGCAGGGATTCAGAAAATCTGCCCCTGTGCACTCCATGTGGTCTGGAAATGCTCCTTATACTATTGTCATAATGCTGTCGTGAGTGCGGGTTGGTGAAGGCGAGGCCCAGGATCAGTGTTGTTGTCATTAACCATCACCAGTGATTTAAGCTGTGGCTGGGAATGGAACTCGGGTCACAGGGTTCACATGCAGCATGCAAACTACTTGCATTACTGCTCCACCTTCACAAGTGGTTAATGTCAAGTTTAAAATAAAATATCTATGTATCAATCTTTCGTATCAGCAGTAATGTGGTATTTATTTTAATGGAGGTATTTGTAATTAGTACAGCAGCATGTACGTATAATTACGTAGATTAATAATTATCATACGTAACTCTTTTTAAAAATGGCCTGGTTAATTTTAGCTCTTGCCATATTGCAAAAGCAAACTGAAAACTTGTATTATCGTTGTGGTCGCAAACATGTCAGTACGTCCAGAAAACTTGCACACTATAAACTCAAAGATCCTGATTATCCATTTTGGTGCAATGACTTTCAGTCAATGTATATTTATTTTGCAATAATAACGTTCCACACTTGTGACTGCTTCTAAAAAGCATGTCCACAATCTTTCATAGACTAACAATGCACAATGTTCTGCTACGCGTCCCAAAAGCCCGGAGTCATTATCTTTTGAAATATGGACCAGACTTGATGAATGTTCATGCTGTAAAAGCGTATGAATAACTTTAGAACATTTACATTGAGTACATTGTGCACATTGTAACATCAGTGGCTTTTCTTCGGATGCAGAATCCCTACCAAGTGACAGTCATTTATAACCCTCTGTGAATGACTGTGTTTTAAGTCATGTATGTGTCTGCAGCGTGAACCACGGCAGGGCATAAAGAGAAAACACACTCCCATCTAAGCATCGTTGAGCAACACTTATTATGAACAACAGACACAGGGCATGGTTTAGGCTTTGCAGGTTACCTTTGGTAGAGTCAACTTCTTGGTCTGGTGATTCTCACACGAAAGATACTGGCTGCTTTATTGTGTCCTGGAGTTCATTTGCTTGGCCATCACATGCTAAATCAGCTATTCTGGTTTCTTGTGTAATTAATTTTCTTGATTATTGTTGTTCATATAATAACTACATAAATTGCAACAAACTATAAAATTTAGATTTTTCAAAAACAATATTAAATTTTCGAAAGCAATACATCTTAATGTTTCTGCTCATTATATAATGGTTCAGTGGAATGTTTAGGTTCAATTAGCTACTCAATGAGTCAATTAGGAATTGACTGTAAAGCCAGATTTTTGCCAAAGTATAATTTTCTTATGTCAATAATTTTGTTTCAAAAGTAAAAGTTGGCCCTATATATATCTATCTAGTGTGGACTTAAATGTGTTCACACCTTTAAAAAAAACAAGAATGCAGAAAACTTGGCCAGTTTGATGAATTTAAATGCGCTATAAATGTGTGTCACTCCTGCCAATGATCGTGCTGTGTTTCTTTAGGGGATCTGGACTCCAGAGGGTGAGGACGTAAAGATCCCTGTGGCCATCAAGGTGCTGAGAGAGGCCACATCTCCAAAAGCCAACAAGGAGATTTTGGATGTAAGGCGGTAGCCAACCATGGGTGCTGCTTTGTTTGAGAACGTTTTCAGCAGCCTGTAAAGTTAAAAAGTCAACGTGAAGAAAACGTTCATGTACCGATTATTTCATTTGTAAATTAGTTCTGTATGTTGAACTTTTTTTTATCACCGTGCATAGCCAACCATGCTAATTGGAGTTATGAAGTATTGAGCTTCATTTGTACTCGTAATAGCATCTGTAAAGAGAATGCCAAAATGGACAGGTCAATGAAATGTGTGTTCATTTACAGCCAACAGAACATGGGAAAAACCATTGCCTTCATACAAATTTTTGAGCTGAGGCAGAGACTAGATGCCAATTTTGAAAATTCGCATATTATAACACGCTGTTTGGCTCTTCAGCATGTGTTTAAAAAAAAACATTATTGTTTCCTATTACAATGTTAATATGTTGTATTGTAAACTAATTCCACCTTGAGTGAGTAGAGTGAGGGATTGCAACTTATATTTCACAAAACGTAGCAAACTGCAGTGATTTTACTGAAAGCTTTAGTTTATTGTATATGAAAACCACGTAAATAAATGCTTTTACAAAACATAAATAATATTACTTCCCATTTTTAAAAAGTGGCATGTTGTTTCTTTTCTTATATTTACTTTTCATTTATGTTTATAACTTTGACTATTTATCACGAAGATCTGTTTTTATATTAAATTGTTCATGACTATAATTATGCAATAATTATTGCATAATTAATATATATATAAAAAATATTATTTTTTTTAAATTACTTGATTGGGGAAGATACCGATATTTGTTGCTGCGGTAAAAAAAATTATGCACCATGATTTACAGGGTGTTCCAAACAGATGGACCCAATTTCAAAGCAGTATATTTCACGATGCCAAGATGTTACTATTACACAAAAAGTTACAAACGGTTTAATGAGTTATCAAGTTTTACTAACCATTTTATAAATGCTCTACGTGCCCTCCACCTGCTGTACGGACAACATCGAGACAATAGTTGAATTCGTCCCAATAACCTCTCAAAGTGTCTTCTTCCACTGAAGTCACCGCTGCCGTGATTCTGTTTTTGAGGTCTTTCAGATTCGTCACTAACGGTCTTTGACGTATCCCCACAAGAAAAAGTCGCAGGGTGTGATGAAACGCACGCTGCACCGCAATTACGGATTCAGTCTTGCTGAACTGCAGAACGCAAAATGCCTTGTGTTGTGGGGTCGCCATCTTGCGAATGACTGAGGCTAGGGGCTGTTTGTGCGCTGGAGAGGCATCTAGCAGTAATTATTTGAAACTCTATGCCCCGCCCTTTCAAGTGGTAAGAGTTTCATTCATGGGCGGTTTGTGGTTGCAGAGATATAGCAATTTCAAATCGGGTCCATCTTTTTAAACACCCTGTACAATTCAAAATCTTCTTACAGGTCTTTATACATTTAAATGAACAGTAAAATATTTATCAATTTAATAAATGGAAGCATTTGGAAGGGAAAACCATTCTAACATAGGTCCCTATCTTTAAAACATATTTTAAGCCATATGGCATCAAGTGATAGCATTTACTATATTGCACTTCCTGATTAGTCCATAACACACTGCAATGTCAGATGTACGTCATTGTCACTTGCCACTGACATTGACTGCCACAGAGATGCACCAGGTCGTGCATTTCTGCCACAAAATGTCAAATATTCTCCATCAACTAGTTTTCTTGTCGTATTTCAGAATAAAGTACCTATCAACATTATAAATGTATTAATATTTTCCTGAGAATAAAAAAGAGGGTAAATGCCTGAACATGTTGTCCCCAACTTGAATCTTGTCTGCCACTGTCCTGTCATTTTAGCTTATGAGGGTGCCTTAGATTTTATTTTTAGGTCAGGGACAGACATAGTGATGTTCTCAAAAGTAAGTAAAAAAGGACAGAAAACATTTGTGAACACTATGACATCAGGTTTTTATATACATACATATATAATATAATGTCCAATATGAGTCTTATAGACTATAAACAGCATGCTTAATACATGGATTCTGAAATCGCTATTATACATTGAATACACTTAAAATAGGTGTACATGGCGAGAAAGTAATATTGGAATGGCGGTGCCTCTATTGGCAAGTTACAAAATTTGTATTCTTTTCAAGGCCAACACATGCTTTAATACGAGGTGCATGCATTATCAGGGAACAGGCCTCTGTACAAGGACTTTACGGTGCAAAGTACTGCGCTCATGTTTAATTGGTTTCTAAGAAAGGTTTTGTAAGAGTTCATTAAGCATGTTTGGCTTACATATAAAGTAGACAATGCAATTCAACGACTAAAGTTATGAAGGTTGTTATGTGGCCAGTGTTCACACATGCCAAACGAGGATTGTATTTGCAACCACATTGCTTAATATCGGTACTCTTAACATCCTTTATATATCTCTTTAAAATATTTGATACTTTGGCTTATTAATGGCTGCATATTCCAGTGAAAGGTGTAAATATCAATTCAGGGACCATCAAAATCAAGTCTTGGTGTCGCACTTTTGGACAATTATAAATACAAATATCAAAGGATGCTAACTTGGGTGCATGAAAATATCTCATGGTGACATTGTACACAAGGGAAATTGTATTGCGAATGGGTGCTATGGCTACATTTGAGAACAGAATTACTCAAAAGCACTTGTTTGGAGAAATTTTGGGGAGTTTAGCATGTTTAATGAGTTTCTCTAAAAGTGTGTTTTTATTTGATCTCAATTAATGTTCATGTCTGTGGCATCCAACTAACATTTGAATTAATTTCCTTTTGTCGTCAACTATCCTCATTGCCATCAAAGCTGTGTTTGTATATATATATTTCTGCATTGTATTGCATCCACTGTTACAACTGATTTTAAAGTGCAGTTTTGTGAACTTAATCAATACATCAATTGCATACGTATATTATTATTATTGTCATCATAATATAAACATCTTCAGCTTTATGATTGTCTATTATATTAATTTCTTAATTATTTTATTGTTATCACCATTATAGGAGCTTTCAACTTCATTATTGCCAATACATGTAGCTGTTTACCTGATGGGAAACAATCATAGTCATGCCTTAAACTGTGAACATGCAATCACATTGCCACCCTTGGGTAGCAAATTTACCATTGATTATCCAACGTTACCATATGCCCATCCCTTGTAACCCTCACTTACTGTGTGCTAGTTTTGGCGTTTTACTAATCAACCCCTCACTGTCTATGAAACGAAATATTTACAAACAGTGAAAAAGAACCCCATGATGTAAGATGTCTGACCTCCAGTCTTGTGAATATACACCTTTAAATCATAATTTTATATCCAGAATAGAATATTTAGGTGTGATTTTACAACTTTTCAAATCCAAAGCAGATTTTACAATCACTCTATGAAGTTCTAAAAACATTTACAATTCATATTACATAGCATTATACTCTCAAGCGATTGTGGAGGGAAAATGGTTCGTCATTATACATTTTTTAAAATGTTTAAGTATTCATAGCAGTCAATTTAAATTATAAAAATGTATACATGTTGCGATAGCCCCAGTCGTTTCACTTGCCGTTCATATACATATAAATACTTTAAAATATCGGAACACACATTTGAGTTGATACATAATACCTGCAACCAGATCAAATAAACATCTTGTCTTGGATCACAAGCGTTATATTAAAAGACTGGAAATCAATTAGTTATACACATAAGGACATACGGGAGTTTAAACCTTTAGAAATACATTCAGCGGCTGTATGTAATACATGGAATTATATCTAATTGCACTATGCGTTTAAAGCAAATGTCAATATATTAGCATTACAGTTACATTGTAATTAAATGAAAACAAAATAGAGCTAAACAGTGACATATATTCATATTGGTCATGAAAGCCTCCATGTTAAAGTTAGATATATACTGCTGCACATGTATGTCGTGTGCACCTAAATGTTAACCTTTGGTTGTCCATCACTCAAACAGTAGGTAAGCCCCGACACCCACCACTTAATAATTTTATTGGAGTAAGGTATATATGAACACGTGGTTTTGTGATTGTTTTCCTGCAGATCATGGAGATTAAACACAAAGATATGATTAAATAATAATACAAATCCTTATTTTATGCCTAAATGTGGCAGCCCTGCAATTATTTATTCAAACCAATGCTGGTAATATGGCCAGCAGTGACGGAGCTCTATAGAAGCCCTCTAATGGGAGCCTTGGAAATTTGCTAATCGCATTGTCTCAAATTTGCGAATTCGATTTGAAATCGATGAATCGTTCAGCCCTAGTAGAGAGCCATATTGGCCAAATCTTCCATCCTGGCCAGACATTTTGGAAGAGTACTCTTTGATTCTATTCGGTAAAGTCACGTAGGTAAAAAATAAAACAACAAAAATCACGACGTTTCGGCCACAACAAAAGTGGCCTTAATCAGGTGAAGGGACCGTACTGTCCAGAGGACAGCGTTGGAGTGAAGACAGTCAAGCCCAGGTCGCATCCTTTAAGCTGTGTCAAAGCGTTTTTTGTTTCCTCCCACACAGCTTAAAGAACGCGACCTGGGCTTGACTGTCTTCACTCCAATGCTGTCCTCTGGACAGTACGGTCCCTTCACCTGATGAAGGCCACTTGTGTTGTGGCCGAAACGTTGTGATTTTTGTTGTTTTATTTTTTACCTACGTGACTTTACCGAATAGAACCAAAGAGTATGGATCCTTGCAGTCACGAAAGCTTTTATTCTAGTGTACTCATTTACACTGCAGGCGGGATTTCAGAAATTCTCCCTTTATTTCAACCGCCATTTGAACCGGGGACCGGTGTGCGAACCATTGAACCAGTGGCAGCATCACACATTTTCGCCAACGTGTATTAAAAGTTGCTGCTCTTCTGTACGTGTGTGTGGACGGCAGGAGGCCTACATCATGGCGAGTGTGAGCCACCCACATCTCGTGCGACTACTGGGCATCTGCCTGACTCCGAGCGTACAGCTCGTGACCCAGTTAATGCCGCTCGGCTGCCTGCTGGAGTACACACGGGAGCACAAGGAGCACATTGGCTCCCAGCTGCTGCTCAACTGGGCCGTACAGATTGCCAAGGTACTCGTGGGCCATTGGCCAGATGTTTTTTGGCATCGATGCAATTGTTGATTTGAAACTCGCTGCATGCTGAACTCGCACGGTTTGATGTGTGCTCGTGTACATCAGTTGCTTGTTTGGATGTGACAAGGTCGGTTACAGCCCTCGGAGACAGGTCCAATGCAATAAAACTTGTTATCACTGGCTATGGACCCAATGAAGAAGTTGTATAAGATGTATATATAGGGAATTAAGTCACAAGATAAAAAATGTTTCGAGGGTTTTTAATAGTGTTGAGTTTGTGATATTGTCTCAAACATTGTAGTTTACATTTCCCTTCCACTACTAAATCACATGCTGCCTTATTGACCAATACATTTAATCACATGAGATGATAAAGACTTCACATACCAAGAGGTTTTCACTATTTGAAGCTGCTTATCTGTGTGATAGTCAAGCTTCACAAACGTTAGGTATAAAGTCCATTACTATTTTTGTAAAAAAAAATGCATTTGGTGTCACAATTGTGCGTGATCTTAACCATCCAATTGCAACAAATATCCACCATTATAATAATAGTACAAATTCATTTACATTAAAAATGTACATTAGTTTTCGTGACATTTTCACATGGAAGGACCATATATTTTTTTTTCATTTTTTTTTCATTTTTTTTTCAAACAATACTCAACTTATGCTGGCTGTATGCAAGCATAGTATATATTAGCACTATTAGAGTTTAATACAATACTAATCAGATTGTTATTTATTATACACATTGAGACAACTGCCTTTGACGTAAGGTACATTTATTTCTCAATAATTGGTAAATATATTTTGTAATCATCTATTTATTTCTATCACATTTGTTTAAACTGTACCACTGAACCCAATTTTGTGTTACTTTATTTTTAACATTGCTGTTGACTACTGCGATATTGATACGTTAGATTACACATTTATACCGGTTGTTAATAACAAAGCATTTAAACAGAAGAGGGAGCTTGCTCTTGGTAACTTTGTTTCAGCCTAGGATGATACACAGCTTTATAAATATAACTCGAAGCATGGGTTAGATTTTGGGGTGAGTGATTTGATTGGGAGCTGTGCATGTACAGCACTCACCTCTCTGCCCACTATTTGGCCTTGTGTCTCTAAGCTAGATGCAGCTTGTCATTTCAGAGGACTTTTAACCTTTAATTTTCTGGACGTGACATTTGTATTTTCTTAACAGCAGCTCGAGATGATTAGCATTTGGCTATGTGTGTTGTCTATGTGGCTTCAGCTCATCTGTCCTCCACCATAGCTCTTTAGTGGCTGTATTCCCAAGGTAAAGCCCTTGAATAATTGAGAAAACAGTGATAAATTAGGCTTTTCACGTAATGAAAGGCATTCTGTGTAATTAAATATTAGTGTTTTTGTAGTTAGTAACATTATGGGGATGTTTTTTACATTTCACCATCAGTCTTGTGGATTGTCTAAAGTGCATTCTAAAACTATTATCCACTCTGGCTCACTGGCCTATTATCGGCTATAAAGAAATCCATTGCCTGAAGCATCACCTATTATTTATTTTCCTTTTAAGGCAGTATTATTAACAAATGTCTTGAGTTTTTTGTTGTGTGTCCTTGTGCACCACTGCCAAAGCAACATCACCAAATAATTTGTTCCATGTGTTTTTCCTTAGGCATTTAGCCATATATTATTCTGAAGCATTCACCTGAAATCGGATAGAATTCCTTTAATAAAGCAGAACGGTGTTATCTTCTGCCGTAATAATAAGTCTGATTTATAACTGCACGATATTTGTGCTGGCGAGGTACTAGCACGAGTAAGAGGATTCATTCCATAACGCATTTGAATAAAATGCGTGTGGAATCTGCCGGCTCGTATTTCTGTTCATAAACAGGTGGATACGTTTTGATTTAAAGCTTTCGTGACTGCAGTAATTCATATTCTTAGCTCTTTCGGTAAAGTCACGTTGAAGAGAAACAATAAAATAATAAAATATATATGAAACAATAAAAATTCCCATGACGTTTCGACAATAACACAAACGGTCGTCATAAGGTGTGTCGGTTTGCATTAATTTATTTTTAAACGGTGTATTTATTTAGTTATTAAAAAAACATCAGCGCCACGCGCAGCGATTTGCCAGTTTATTTAGAAGGACTAGTCCATCTATGTTCTGAAAAGAGGAGGGGGGAGACGAAAAATTAATGTATGCTGTCTGAAAGCCACTGTAAGCGTGAACAATCAATTAAGACCTGAAATGGTTTATCAAATCTTTCCAATGATTGCTAAGCCAGAATCCATCTTCTCGGTTAAAATTGTCTCTGTGCTTGTATATGTGGATAGCCTCATGAACGAATCTCTCACGGTAGCCAGATGGCTTACAAAGAACCTCTATCTTGGAAAAGTCAATGTCATGTGAGCCTACTGAATTATAACAATGATCTGCCACAGCCGAGGTGTTGGTCCTACCGTGTTTAAGGTCTGCTTTGTGTTCAAGAATGCGGTCCGAGACATGGCGTTTGGTTTCTCCAATGTAACTACTACCACAGAGGCAACTTAGTTTGTAGACCCCAGATCACGGATTTAAGTAATGTGTTGAAACGGACCTGGATCTTGTGTTTATTCAAGATTTTGGAGATATTTTTGTGATCCCCACAATGTAGGGTAAAGTGATGGTTTTGAAAGGCTCCTCAAGAGGGTCCTTCTTCATGGTTTGGAAGTCGAAAAAGATGGCAAGCTACCTTTTTTGGATGTCCTAATAAAAAAGAGACCTGATGGTTCAATGAGCCACTCTGTCTACAGGAAAGCTACCCATACGGATGCTTATTTGAAACCAGATTCCCACCACCATCCATCACAGAAGAATTCTCTCATCAAGACTCTGTACCATAGAGCCCAATACATATCTGACCAGGAACACATAGGCAATGAACTCAAGCACGTACACCAAGCTCTTAAGGCTAATGGTTACTCTGACTATACAATCCGCAAAGCTATCACTCAAACCATGAAGAAGGACCCTCTTGAGGAGCCTTTCAAAACCATCACTTTACCCTATATTGCGGGGATCACAAAAAGATCTCCAAAATCTTGAATAAACACAAGATCCAGGTCCGTTTCAACACATTACATAAAATCCGTGATCTGGTTCCGTCTGTAAAAGATGTGATTCCGGACATACAGTACCCTGGGGTCTACAAACTAAGTTGCCTCTGTGGTAGTAGTTACATTGGAGAAACCAAACGCCATGTCTCGGACCGCATTCGTGAACACAAAGCAGACCTTAAACACGGTAGGACCAACACCTCGGCCGTGGCAGATCATTATTATAATTCAGTAGGCTCACATGACATTGACTTTTCCAAGACAGAGGTTCTTTGTAAGCCATCTGGCTACCATGAGAGATTCGTTCATGAGGCTATCCACATATACAAGCACAGAGACAATTTCAACCGAGAAGATCGATTCTGGCTTAGCAATCATTGGAAAGATTTGATAAACAATTTTAGGTCTTAATTGATTGTTCACGCTTACAGTGGCTTTCAGACAGCATACATTAATTTTTCGTCTCCCCCCTCCTCTTTTCAGAACATTGATGGACTAGTCCTTCTAAATAAACTGCCAAATCGCTGCGCGTGGCGCTGACGTTTTTTTTATAAATAAATGCACCGTTTAAAAATAAATAAATTAATGCAAACCGACACACCTGATGACGACCGTTTGTGTTATGGTCGAAACGTCGTGAGAATTTTTATTGTTTTATATATATTTTATTATTTTATTGTTTCCCTTCAACGTGACTTTACCGAAAGAGCTAAGAATATGAATAAGGTGGATACGTCTTCAGTGTGTCTGTTGAATGGCTCCGGGCAAGCCCCTGGTGGAGTTTTGTTCTTCGTAACACCGTCGCCTCAGAAATACAATGTTGTTGTAGACCGGTGGTCTTATTAATGATTCATGAATAAGTCAGTGCCAAAGACATTAAAGAGATGCATTTTGTGCCCGTGGTGGTTTCTTCTCAATGGGTTGAGTGCCTGGGCATATGCTGGCTTCGTAAGCTTGGCTGCAGAATAGCTTTGTGTTTAACATTAACCTTCACACTGATGGGGTTTTTGTTATTCTACAAGGCGTTGAACTAAGTTGTCAAAATTATATTAAGGTAAAACGTGTGTTTAGTTGTTTAAAATTATACACGTAACATGTAAGGTTTGTTCTTGGTTCTTTTGGTAAAGTCACGTAGAATTGGAAATATTTCCATTCTACATGTTACGTGTATAATTTTAAACAACTTATTCACACGTTTTACCTTAATATAATTTTCTTTTGGTAAAGTGACGTCGAATTGGAAATATTTCCACATACCTTACATTTCGATTTAAAGCTTTCGAGACTGCAGGGATTCATCTTCTTGGTTCTTTCGGTAAAGTCACGTAGAATTGGAAATATTTCCATTCTACGTGTAAGGTATGTTTTACATTACTTGTGGAGCATTTTATTTGACATATGTAAGGAAAAAAAACATAAAGTGATATTAAAAAACAGCGATACAAAAATTATATACCTATTGTGATTTTATTATAATTGTGTTTTCCATATTACAATGTGTTTCTATTATGGGTCATATAAATCATCCAAGTTTGTAGATTCAGAGTTTTATTTACACTTGAACGAATGCAATATTGTGGCTTCGTAGGCTGGTGCTTCTGCTTATTTGCCATTGTGTACTATTGTCCCAGAGTAGATGGTTTGGGTTCTGCTGCCAGCCAATAATTTATGACGGGGAATTTTCAAAGAACATTATCTATTATAAAGTGTATGTTGAAGACAATCAACATTATCTGCACCATCATCATTATTATAAGGAATTGTGTGTACCTATCAAAGCCTTAATTTGAAAATTGTACATTATTTACAATTGGAACTGTGAAATAAGTAAACTGATAGTTTTTAAGATTTTCCTTTAAAATATATATAATCTCAACATGCTGTCTCCTAATTATATAAAA